CCACGTCATCGTGTGCATATATGCGCTTAGTGATCTTTGCGTTTGCGTCGTCCCGTACCAGTACGTGATTTATTTAAAAATCGATATTTTAATATTCTTTAAATATTTAGGTTCTGTTACCATCTTCTGTACCTTGGGTATCACGTTTAAAAGCAGTTACTTCATTTTGCCGCTCTGGACATTTATACTGGACTATACTATACTATCTGGACGTTCGTTATAAATTCTATCATAAAAATCCTCCAAAGGAACGATATTTTAACATTTTTGATAATTTTAAACGGTATTTATTTATTTATTCATTAGTACAAATATGTGTATATGGCGGACTTAATGCTAAAAGCATTCTCTTCCAGTCAACCATAGGGAAGTGTCAGATACGGTATGTAGGTATAATGTAATTTTAACATGAAATTTGTGTTTCGTTCGGCTCTGAAATTTCGAAAAAGATTTCATGGTAGGAGCTCTGACTTCCCCTTCATCTTGTACCTATACCGCAAGTGCATATTAAAAGTGGAAATGAGGTGTTCATACAATTTTAATCGTTAAACCAGAATAGACTGCCATAGCTTATTCGATAATTAAATATGTCAACATCATTACGTACTTAGCAAACAAAATACTTATACATACTCAGAACTCAACTAGTATATTTGCTCAAGATAATATACTTAGGTATATTAGCGTTTATATCAAAGCGTACCGAAATGCGACTCGTCGCAATTATCCGTTAATTTTCAAAAATTGATTAATTTTCAATAGTTCTGAATTATTTAAAACCTGCTCTCATTGTAAACTAAAATTTGCGTACTGTCAGTAAAGGGTCTTTCTGTACCTACGTCGAATGATTTATGGGGTAGGCAGAAAGAGGTAAAAATCTATTAAAGGTTGTCTGGAAGAAATTGCTTTTAGCGATAAGGGTCGCCTATTGTTTTCTCGCTGTGATTATTTCTTGTAATTGTTTATATTTATAATAAGTTTACTATTGTAATCTTTTGGAGGAAACAATAAAGAGTATCTATCTATCTTAGTTCTATTTACTGTACTCGTAGATATGACATTATTAATTTTTATATATATATATATATATATATATATATATATATATATATATATATATATATATATATATATATATATATATATATATATATATATATATATATATATATATATATATATATATATATATACATATACATATACGCTGATTTCAAAGACTCTTGACTCCTCGTCCAGATAATTTATGCCATGATTATTCACAGGTTAATTATTTTCGTATCTAAAAGTACCATCAAAAACAACCAACCATCAAAAACAAGTATTTTTGCTCCGCCAAGAAAACAGTGACTTCAATCGTCACAAAATTAATATAGCACCATAACGGGAGTAAACTCTGTCAGAATTCAGAAAAGAATAATTAAAACAGATTCAGAATTTGTCGACGTGATCGTGTAAGGGTCACAAAAATAGCAACAAAATAAGAACCTCCTTTTTCTATATACCATTTGAAAAAGTAAAAATAAATTATCTATGATACAAACTTATAAAATTTAAAGCTATTTCTGTTGCCATATTTTATGAGCGAATTATGCACAAAAATATATTGGGAAACCCAGTTTGTCAGCGTTGTTGATCTAGTTCTATATTTACATTATATGTTACATTATAACAATTTTATTCATAAAAACACCTCATTTTATCATAGTATCGTTTATATTTCCAATACACGTGAGAACTATATATAATATATATATATATATATATATATATATATATATATATATATATATATATATATATATATATATATATATTATCTTGTTTATACGTTACATGGATTATGGAATAGTTTGGTTCGATACTCCGTTCGTAGTAGGAGTGTTTCAGACACGTCGAGTTTTGAGTCTTCGTTTTTTATATCCGTCCATATTGAAAATTAGGTTTACATCTTTGTTTTTTGGTGTAATTATTACATTACTAATATTAAAAATGTATAAATATGAAAACTAGATTCGATATTTATTACTCAGTTACTGTTTTTTTTATTTGAATGAATGTTGGTACCCAGATGGACTAAGAATATTTTTGACATGAAAAATACCTGTTTTTTTATACAACTTAGAATGGCAAACAAGCTGACGGCCCACCTGATGGAAAGTAGTAACCGTCGCCTATAGACACGAGCAGTACCGTGGACATAACAGAGTAAACTGTTTCGCCCATGATACCCCCCATGCGTTGCCATTCCTGAGGACTCAGGTGTTATTCCTCTGTACCCTATAAATTCACGCCATATCCCACCTTTCAAACCGAAACACAGCCATGCAAACACAACTGCTTCACGGTTGAAACACGAATGGAACAGAGCTACCCAAGCAATCGACTTTTGTACAAAGTCTCCCTCTGGTACAACTGTGTTTAGAACCATCATTCTTATATAATATAAAGATGTTATCTGATAATTAATTATCACGTTTAATATCACATCATCATATCAGCCTTTAACTATCCACTGCTAAACATGTCTCCCCCTAAGGAGGTTTTGCCAGTAGTGGCCATGCTCGGCAGGCGGATTGTCAACCGCAGTTAGACTTTAGAGATGTTTTAAGAGACACGCTGCTGCCCATTCCTCGCCTTCCCTTAGTCACCTCTTACTACACCCACAGGAAAGGAAAGGATAGCCAATTCTGTGTCGAGACCACATGGCTAATATAATACGACATGTATAATATAAATAGGTAAATATAATATACTACTTTATGGTTTTAAACTAAAAAGGTAGCTCTAGATTTTAAAAATACTGAAAACAGTTATTTTGCATAACACAAAGTAAAGTGTTATTCAAAGTGTGTGTTGTTTGAGGACGGTCGTGACCCCCATAGGAAATTGGGGCCATGTTGCACCTAACTCGTGAAACCCTCGTGAAAAGGGATTGTTAGTAATGGAGACTGAGAATCCCATTGCTGGCAATATACCCAACCAGGTCGACCTCCTCGCTGTTCCCCCTGGAAACTATCATGGTTAATTCCTATTGAATTCATCATGATGGGCTAACTGGCCTGTTTTCATTTTCTTCTATCGCCCTTCACTGGTGCTCCGCCAGCGTATCCCGTTAGCGCTGGCAGGGTTACCATTCCATTTTCAACCATCAAAAAAAAAACACGTGAAACCTGAGTTTTTTTTTAAAGATACGCGTATTTTTAAAGTTAGAAATACATAATTTTCTTAATATAATGAAGGTATGTCGAACTATATCCTGCATTAATGCAATAATGTAGTCTGACAACGGAAAATGAGGGTCATTAGGCAGTTTCCAAACATTACGGTCACGTTATCATCAAGGTGGAAAAACATTGCTCTAAAGAAATTATATACTTTATTATGCCTATAAATAACAAGTTGTGCCCGCGACTTCGTTCGCTCGGGAAACAGTAATATTGAGTCAGCATTTTACACACATATGTCAAAATTTATAACGTGTTATAGAGTCGTTAAAGAATTTGACCAGAGGGAGATAAAAGTCGATTGCTTGGGTACCTCTGTCCCATTCGTGTTTCAAACGTGAAGCAGTTGTGTTTGCATAGCTGTGTTTCGGTTTGAAGGGTAGGATATGGCGTGAATTTACTGGGTTCAGAGGAATAACACCTGAGTTCTCAGGAATGGCAACGCATGGGAGGTATCATGGGCGAAACAGTATACTCTGTTATGTCCATGGTATTGCTCATGTCTATAGGCAACGGTTACCACTTTCCATCAGGTGGGCCGTCAGCTTGTTTGCCATTCTAAGTTGTTTAAAAAAAAATTTAGATAACACAAATACACTTTCATATTTATAAGATCAGTACAATCTAGCTTTAGCATGATATCTAGTTAGTTTTATACATAGAGCGTCATTATTAGTATTGTGACGACCTTGAGTTTCCTCGACACGTTTTATGCCCACATGTGCGTACGTCGATAACCTCATGTTTGTATAAATATATTTTTACATTTTGCATTTTAGGTAAGTGCTCATGTGAGCACCTTGTTTACAGTTTTACAGGTCCCGTATCAAAGGGTAGGTACATATAAAAAACACCATTATTGTAAAATGTTAACATCGCTATGTAGTTTTATCAACCGACCGAGCCGACTGATCAGCCAACAAAATGATATTACCAAAGTAATGGAAACTTAAACAATTGTTTTGGTCAAATTACTTGAAAGTTTAATTTTGTTTTTAACAATATTTTTATATGTATCTTGTTTTCGACTACTCCATTTGTACCTAAAAATAGGACAATAGATTCCAGAATTAGATCAGAGTTTAAGAAATTTTTGGCCAATTAATCAATTTGGGAATGCAGACCATTTTTAATGTCTAGCTACAATAAAATTTAATTATGTAGATGATGGACGAACCATTTGATATTATCATAAATTAAAGAATGCTTACTTTAAATTTCAAATTTAAAACATATTCTAAATCTACTGACGATTTAGATTGTAACATATAGTTTATCAGAGGGAGACTTTGTACAAAATTCGTTTGCTTGGGCACCTCTGTTCTATTCGTGTTTCAACCGTAAAGCATAGCTGTTTCGGTTTGATCATAGTACTGCTTATGTCTATAGGCGACGGTTACCACTTTCCTATCAGGTGGGCCGTCTACTTGTTTGCCATTCTAAGTTGTATAAAAAAAAATATATAGTTTAATCACAAAACTAATTATGTACTTATAAATTATACGAGTAGCTATATGTGACATGTTATTATTAGGTTGCAATATAGGTACTTATATGTTTATTTATTTATCTCACAACTTTTTTGAGTACAATGAAACATTTAAAATAATACCATAGATACATCAAAGTTGTAGAGAACTGGTGCCTGAACTGGGTACCCAAAGAACCCGTATCACAAGGCACCAGGACCCCTCCCTGGCATGAAACATTTTATGGTAACTTATATGTGTGTAAATTGTGTTGATTGATTAACATGTGATCTATTTGTTGCAGTTACAATTCTAACGATGGGTTCAGTCGAGTGGCTGACCAACTCAATTTCGCCGCACCCTCAGAAGATGAGGCGGAATATCCACCTGGCGCCTATTTGAAGAAGGGGAAGGTCTCGAGGGCAAGTCAAACTGAATATGCCCAATTTATATCTCTTATTAATTTGCAAGATAACAATCTATACATTTTAAATGTTAAAGTAACCGTCTGCTTTATTATCGTAACTGAACGGTTTTAATCAATTTTGATGACAAGGAAAATGAAGGACGTTTACTTGAAGTTTGATATCAAATTCTAACATCTTGTGTAGTATAATTTATTAACTTTTTTTTTATCTTTTTATACAAGGTGCATAGTTTGCGTTTTCTACATAAAAAAATTTGTCAAAGGAAACTAAGATTCTTATTGTCTATCTATCTTTATAACTTACTTCATGCTTCCTGTCTTAGACATGGTAATTATTAAAAATATTACTTTAGCAAGTACAGGTGATAAGACAATGATGAAAGTCAAGATGACTCTTCATCATTGTCTTGTTACTTTTGTCCTACTACATATTTGAGATCAGCGCAATATGTAACTGCTACTGCTCCTGTCAATTCTCCAAATTATAAAAGTTTGTAAGATGTTTACATTTTAGTTATCGATCACGTATTTAAATAGAATTAGGTGAGGTTACTATAATTGTTTTTTATTTTAGATTTGATTTACATATCTGTAATGAATCGCATTATAATAAAAACTTTCGTATCTTCAGCAAGATCCGATGTCGCACCGTATAATCGAGAAGCGTCGTCGCGACCGGATGAATAACTGCCTCGCAGACCTGTCGCGTCTCATCCCGCCAGAGTACCTGAAGAAGGGACGTGGCCGCGTCGAAAAGACGGAGATCATAGAGATGGCAATACGCCACCTCAAATTTTTGCAGGAACGCGCCAATGGTTTGTACCAAACCACTCCCTGATTATGGTAATGCCACCTTAAAAGGTAATTGGTTCGACCAAAACTAGTGGGAATCTTGTATCCTATATATAAATAAACATTCGATTGTTTGAAGGATTCAAACAAATAATAATATAATAATTGATACCTTCAGCAATTCGAAATATTGATGTGATATTTACTAGGTAAGCGGGATATCCGCTTTTGACGTTCAATTCAAGTAGTATACAACTGGCCAAATCAAGGTAGACCTTTTCTTCAGTACCCAATATTTTCATATTTCCTAATTATTGATGATAAAATCTTTAAAAAGTTCAATTCGAAACTGATAAATACTTTAAGACATTTAGTTATTTCATAATTTAAATCAAGCTTTGTACAGACTATTGACCAGATGCATCCTATTTCTTTTAACATTTCCGTCAACTTCAAAATTATCTAATGACCGTCCATTCCTAATTTTGGTTTTAGAATTAGCGTCATATATTGTCATAGGTGGCTGGATAGATATATTTGCAAAGAACAGTAGGCATGTGAGGTACACTAGGTATGTTATACAAACAGCGACTGCTAGTGACATAGTTTTCTTCAGACTTTTAAATGTTTTTAGATAATGTCAGAAATTTATCAAGTGCAAAACAATTTGTTGAAGGCGCATTTCTGTCTCATTTAAATTTTTTTTCTGTACATAATCTCAGAATAATTTGAAGTGATCATATACGTTTGACACAAACCAGGAGCATATTTGGTAAATGAAATGTTATTTAAAACTCCCAGTTAAATCATGACTAAAGTGAAAGTCTAGTATGACATTTGGTAAAGAGCTTAATACACTAAAATGTGTGAATTTTTGTAAATACCCTATATAAAATTTTAGTATTTAGTTTTTTATAGTAAAATGGATTTAATCGGCTTCCCATTAAGAAACCCTTTAACAAAAAAATTAATAGAAAATCAAGACGTTATGATGTTATATACATAAATTAGTACTAAATTTTTAAATCCGAGAGGCCGATTAAATCATACAACTCATTAATTCATTACGATCAAAAAGCCAATGATCATAAGATTATTTAAATTAAATAACCATAAATACATCAAAAATCAATGTCATGTCAATAAATTCACCAAAAAAATATTGAGACCCATTGTTATTGTCTAATAATCTTGTTTATATTTAATACCACTTATGTCAAAATAATGCCATAATTTTCCCGAATAGAAACGCAACTGTTGTGATTCATGCAAATTGAATCGCCGCAGTTGATCTTATTAATGGTTTGACATTTATTGACTTGTTTACATTTGAGATACGTTAATTTTGATGTAGGTGGAGGAATTCCATTTTCTTTTTTGGAATCACCATTGTATGTATTGGGTTGCTCATATACTAACTTTCGTCATGTTCTAAGTTTGGTCTTTGTTAAGTCTTCTCTGGAATTCTGCTCGCTTAGGATGTTGAGTCGTTTGTCACATTTTCAAACTCAGTTTGAGTCCTCGCCTCATCCGTAACGAACAGGAATAATAAGACTCAAAAATTTGGCTTCACCTATATGGGATCGTTTACAAATTTGCTCTATAACGTGCCGCGGTACTGAAGAATTCTAATGTTGTTGGGAGTCGCCCGCAGGGAGATGTTGCATCTTCGCCGTGGGCATGGGTTTTGTTGTAGCTGCTGAGAGACAAGTGAGCGAGGAGAACTTCAGGGCTGGCTACCAGGAGGCAGTCGCGGAGGCCGTCAGGTTCCTGGTGGAAATACAGGGCTATGGTCGCAACGACGGGCTTTGCGTGCAGTTGGCTTCACACCTACAGAGACACTGCGAAGCTGTTACGAAAGGTTTGTTTTATAATTAACTATTATTACAAAAAATGTTAAATTTAAATGCCGAATAACATCCAACTCACAATGTAAAGATATTCGCAAGAATAATAACACAGAGGAAGACATTGTACAAAACTCGTTTGCTTGGGCACCTCTGGGACAGAGATGTTTTTTCCGTGTTTCTACCATGAAGCAATTGTGTTTACACGGCTGTGTTTTGATTTGGAGGGTGGGATATGGCAGTGAATTTACAGAGTACAGAGGAATATGTATGTATATCAATAACACCTGAGTTCTCAGGAATAGCAACGCATGGGGGGTATTATAGGCGAAATGGTATACTCGGTTATGTCCATGGTACTGCTCATGTCTATAGGCGACGGTTACCACTTTCCATCAAGTGGACCGTCAGCTTGTTTGCTATTCTACGTAGTATAAAAAAAAGAACCTTAATGTAATTAAAATCTATCAGTTAGAATCAAGTTAGAATAGAATAGAATAGAATAGAATAGAAATCATTTATTCAAATAAACTTACATTGAAGCACTTTTGAAAAGTCATTACATTTTTTTTAGTTAAGTAAACCTCCGTTTTTGCTAATAATTGTAAGTGAATATTTCAAACATGTAAAACAATTTTATTTTTTTTTATAATTGGTTATGTTTTATAGATTTTAGAGGCCTGTTTATAGGTGAAGTTCCCCGTGATAAACCACGATCACATCCCGGGTCCTCTTCAGAGACATCGGGTAGTTCTTCGGGCAGTTCTCACGGGTATTCCATGAACACTGGCGTGATCGCCCAGGCACCACCACCGGGTCCTTCTTACCCTCCACAATCTTATGAGCCGGACCATCCTACTGAGCCTGTATACCCTATGGAATGCGACAGAGGTAATTTTGAATTTGATGTATTTTATTTAATATTGAGATCCATTATAAGTCCCAGGGGAAGACCCTGAGATTTAAAATCTATCTAGCGCTTTTGTCTTGGAACATTTAAAAATTTTAATTATATTATATCAATATTAATTCAAATTAGAATTTATTTAATATCAGTTTATAAGATCCATTTTGTTTACAACAAATTTTAAATTATGTCATTAAAGAAATTTAGTAGACCATATACCTTCGAAACATCAGGTCAGGACGACAACGTACCAGGGAATCATCACCAGAGGGAGACTTTGTACAAAAGTCGATTGCTTGGGTACCTCTGTCCCTTTCGTGTTTCAACCGTGAAGCAGTTGTGTTTGCATAGCTGTGTTTCGGTTTGAAGGGTGGGATATGGCGTGAATTTACTGGGTACAGAGGAATAACACCTGAGTCCTCAGGAATGGCAACGCATGGGGGGTATTATGGGCGAAACAGTATACACTGTTATGTCCATGTTACTGCTCACATCTATAGGCGACTGTTACCACTTTTCATCAGGTGGGCCGTCAACTTGTTTGCCATTCTAAGTTGTAAATACAATATTGTACCAAAACGTATCAGAATGTAACTTTAGTGCAAATTTTTGCTTCACAGTATCTGCAAATCAACATCCATTAGCGACAGACGGTGAAATGCAAACGGAAGCAGAGCCCCTGCCCCTTGATGGACGCAGAAAACGTGAGCCCACACTCCGAACAGTTAGGAAACCTGAACACAACGACGACTATTTACAATCCTACAAGTTCAAGAATTACATAGAAAGAAGATTTTCAAGATCACAGGACGAGGTAAGTTATGGAATTTATTTAATATTTAGTCAACCAATTTAACTTACTAATGATAATAATAATTACTAATAATAATTATTTATTTATTTATATACATATTTTTGGTGAGTTTTACAGTTTTTACCCATGCACTGACCCCCTGGGGGTCACGTCAAATAATTTGAGAAACACTGGTTAAAGTGAATTATATATATATATATATATATATATATATATATATATATATATATATATATATATATATATATATATATATATATATATATATATATATATATATATATATATATATATATTAATCTATATTAATCTCGTATTGATAATTGTTAATTTGATTTTCTATTCCAAACAGCACAATGATTTGAAGGCTGTGGACATGGCTACGCGATCGACTCACCCGCACGGGAAGGCCTACTACAACCACAAACGACGTCGAGCGGCGAAGCTAGTGCCCTCTACATCTACGTCTAATTCCGGCTCCACGGAGGAAGCCAGAGATACCTCTCCACAGGTATTAATACGGATATATTTTTATGAAAATAAGGAAACTAAGGACTACAAAGATAAGTCAAAATTATATATAATCAGCTGTAACCTAAGAACAAGGAATTACATAAAAGGAATGATAAAAAACAGTAAATCATATGGTTGCCTCTTTTCTTCTTATGCTAGTGTTATTAGCAAAAAGAGGACGTGAGATATACTATCAGTTTTTTCTCGATTCGTAGTAGGTTAGTTTTCAGTAGGTTTTATTGGCCGTATAACCCAATCAAATTCAGATATAACCTGCTTGCATACTTTCTACATAAACTGTGTCGAATATATAATCTAGTAATGTAAAATGTCATTGGCATATAATTGACATATCAAACTTTTTCTGTAGGTACACTAGCCTGCTATGAATTGAGAAAAATAGCAACTGAAGGACCTTTCGTCTTCTTTTTACTAATTACTTTGTATAAGAAGAACCAAGGCATGATAAAATAAAAACTATAAATCATATAGTTTTTATTTTATCATTCCTTCTACGTAATTCCTTGTTCTTAGGGTGTAACGACTAGCGTCCATGTTTGCATTAGACATTGATGATTTATGATACACTAGCTGTACCCTGCGACTTCGCGTAAATCAGTAAAATAATTAATAATTATAAAATATCCTAATGTTCATATATTACCTTCTTTTTCATTCTCACCTATTATCCCTCACTGGTGCCTCGCTGGTGTATACCGTTAGCACGGGTAGGATTACTATTTATATATATATATATATATATATATATATATATATATATATATATATATATATATATATATATATATATATATGTTAATTTAAAATGTAACCTACCCGTGTTGGAACACGAGTTTTTCATTTCATTCAAATCCGTTCAGTTGTTTACACTTTACACTTATAATATTAGTAGGTTTGATTATTAGACTACCAGACTGGACCTAGAAAATAAATACTCGTTGTTGTTTCCTTCAAATGACTACAATACTAAACTTATTATAGATACAAACAATTACAAGAAATGATCACAGTTCGTCCAGTCAATCTGTTTATAATTACTCTTCTCCATCCAAAGGTTGCCTGGAAGAGATCGCTCTTAGCGATAAGGCCGCCCATTGTTTTCTTAGTGTAATATTTTCTTGTAATTGTTTGTATTTATAATGAGTTTACTATTGTAATCTTATGGAGGAAACAATAAAGGATATCTATCTATCTATTTATACCTATGCATAGGAGTCTTTTTCGGCTTTTACTGATGTAAATATATAATGTATCTGTTATTGTAAGATTTACTATATTGTATCACAGAATAGGGCTCTGTTTCGAGGTATTTTCAAAGAGACAGCATGGGCTTCTTCAAAAAAGGGGTAAAGAGGTTAATTTAGGGTCGACAAAGCACGCGTAATGCCCTTGGTATTGCAGGCGTTTATAGGTTTATAGGCTACGGTAACTAATTATCATTTAATGGGTCGTAAGCTTATTTGCCACCTTAGTGGTATAAAAAAAAGTGAAATGCCGAGTAAATGTTATTCTATTGAATACACACACGTAAAATGTCCCAAATGAGTGTGGAAATGGGAGTCTAATTTACATCTATTCGATATGTTTGCAGGACACATCGAGCGAGTCCCCCCACCACCATAATCATTACGAGAAACCGCCACCGCCAACGCAATTCGTGCCAGTGTTCGCTCTCAATGCTCTTGGTAAGTGGTTTTTACTGATTTGGTATCTAAGCATTATTGGCTATGGAGAGGGGAGTGCGCGTTTGCCCGGGGACGAAATTCAAAAAGAATGCTGAGGGCCAGGTGGGGAGCCAAAATGTAAGAGAGACACCGTTCATCAAAGTCGACGTTGGTGTGGACAGAGGATCATAGACCTTTTTCCGTCGTTAGGAGAGAAAACGCTCGGCGCTCTTAAATATTTGTCTAAGTATGCATGTTTGGGGGGAAAGGGATTGTTAGTAATGGAGACTGAGAATCCCATTGCTAGCAATATACTCAACCAGGTTGACCTCCTCGCGGTTCTCCCTGGAAACTATCATAGTTAAATCCTGATGAATTCATCATGATGGGCTAACTGGCCTGTTTTCATTCTCATCTATCATCCTTCACTGGTGCTCCGCCAGCGTATCCCGTTAGCGCAGGCGGGGTTAACATACCATTTTCACCCATAAAAAAAAAAGTATGCATGTTAGTGATAGAAGGTAACCTTATTTTGAAACCAGGTGGCTCAGAACCATTCCTCATGGAAGAGACCAATTGTTCAACAGTCGCCAATGAACGGCTGAAACGATATTTCAAATAGTCGAGTTTATACGTAATTAAATTCATCATCGTTATCATAACAGTCGTTATCTGACTACTATTGAATATAGATCCCCCATAAGCTGCCATAAAGAACAGTTCTAAGCTTAGATTATGAAATATGTTATACTAAATCTATGGTCCCGAGTCACCTGCATTTACTTACATTATTATATGTCTATGGCATCCATAGACACCCTGCAAATAACATTAATTAAATTTGTCCATAAATATTGTAAAGTAATCCCGAACTCTAAATATATTTTCAGGTAAATATTACGTTCCGCTAAGCGTGGACTATGCGTGTTTATCGAGACATCTCGGCGCTTATGACCTGCTGGATGCTCGAGCAGTACACCTCGCGGCGCCACTTCATCCTGTCACAATACATGTTAATTTTCAACCCTGCCTCAATTATCACGTTAAACGTGAGCCCAACGAGAGAGAATGGCGACCCGTCTGAATTCTAAACACCCAAATGAAAGAAGTGGTTGAATTTAAATAATAGTTCAATGGGACTTAATGCTCGTTTGCTTATAGACCAAGTTACAGCATTTATCTACGCGTTCCTTTGTCTATGGAAGGCAATGAAAAATTGACATTGTCATTGGTAGTGGTGCAACATACTCATAGAAAGAGGATATCAGACATTTATTTTTAATCTGTGGGTGAAACTTTACGAATGAGAACTATTCCTAATTTAATGTTACCATGTACATTCATAAATGTGATTATAGGTTAATTAGATATAAAAGTAAATTAAGTAGTAAGTGTATTAAGTGATAAAAGAGTTAAGACTAAAATACAAATTAAATGAAATTATTGTATTAGTCTTTGCTTCCATAAGTTTCCCAAAGAAAAACTGATTAGGTATATATAGGTGGCCAACTTTTTTAGTTGAATTAGTTTCTATGGAAAGGAAAGAAAAACAAAGTTAAATAAGTATATAGTTTTTGTACACTTAAAAACTAAATAAATTTGTATTACCATTACCTTACCATAAATAACTATTAGATACCCCTTTTACATTTAGTCGTTCTTAGATTGGTGATCGTCGCAAAGATAATAATGGTATAAACCAAAATCGAAGAGAAAGTGGTATTTAATATTTGATACTATTTTTAATTACCTTATCTATATGCAAAATGTATCTATTTTGTAAACGATATTTCTGGCATTTATTCTATTTTTATAAAATATATTTTGGAGTTAACATTTAAAATGGGTATATAAATATAATTATATAATATAATGTATCTACTTACTCATCTATTCATAAAAAAATGTTTAATTACCACGGGATCTTCGATAAAAGTACCAAATTGCGCATATTTAGATAGGTACCTGTTCTAAGGTACCTTCTTAGGATGTAATTATATTGTGAATACAGTTTTTGATTTTCAATTGTTTGTGTATTTAAAACTCAGACTTCATTTTGGTTCATAATGTAAATAGTTATGTGTAGTTTATAAAAAGAAGATGAATTTAAGCTGAGCGAGGTATAAACTGACAGGTCTAGTCAATTCCGCGTTACGCATTGTTAAATTCAGATAGTATCTATTTAGGCATCTTAAAATATTAATTAAAATTAATTTTTTTAATCAAAATCTTACGAATATTTTATTATGATTACCTGTTCCCCGAAACTTCGTCTACGAACGAGGAATTAAAATATTGTTAAAGTTGCATATATTTCAAATACTAAGGCATAGATAAATAATGGTATACCTTCCTACCTTAGCTACCTACATTCATAGAGTGTGTAAACTGAAACGTTGTTAATTCTATGCCTACCGATAAAACGATATTTTTTTGATAAATTATGATTAAAATATTTTATAATACATAACGATTGTTTTCTTATTCAACTTGTTTAAATTTGTTAGTTTAATGTTTTATTATTTAATATTTGTAGTAAATACAAATATACCCTGCATAGACTTGTTATAAGACTGAGGTTTATTTTCTTTTAATTTGGTCGGATGTCGTAGGTTATATTTTTCTTTTCAAAACGTGGAAGATACTGTAAAATCTACATTTTACATTAAAATTATATAATCTATAAGAGTATATACTTATAAAAAAACTTATATTTAAGTATACTTTAAAAAAATTAGTATAATTAAATATCAGGAAGTTTTTTTTTATTTCTCTCTTGTTACCTGCAATCGACTCTTCCATTACAACGATAATCAGATAGTATCTTGTGTGAAAATTAGCGTTTTGAAGAGTAATCCAGCTCTCTCAGAATGATTTTGTAAAGTTCTTCAGACTCTAGTGTCAAGGTTCAAATCAAGCCATCGTCTCAGTCTTGTAGATTGTTGTACTGTGAGTACTTCTCCAGCCAGATCATTCGTATGATTTATAAGGCGCTGTTTATATTTTTTTCTGTTAATCCTTTTCTTTAACAGTATTGACTAGCGTATAGTTATGCATCTCCTCATTTCTAATAAACCAAGGGGATTTAGTAATGTTTCTTAAAATTATGTTCTGAAATCTCTATATTGGAGTTACTAGCGGAACCGGAGTTGCTATCAGGAAATAGTAGAAAATTTGTTTGTATATTTGTAGCTGTCGTAGTTAGCCCGCCGTAGACCTAGAAAAAAATTAAAGCTTATAACACTTCTGACAAATTTGTATCAATCTAATTTTTGGATGCGTAGAAAGTTAGAATTGCAGGTATTATCCTTGTGTTTGTCATTGAAAGAATAAACTGTTGAAATTAATGCCAAGTACTATTCTTAATCTATGATAAAAACAAAGAATTTGGACCAAGATATGGGCGATCTAATTTATATTTTATTTGTGTTCCTTATATAATTCCTCACCCATTTCATTAAAAATACCTTTTCCTACATCCATTTTATGCCTTTTAGCTCATCCTGAACTTTTGATTTAAAATTAATAAATCTACGAATATAAAAATTGGAAACAACTAAATCCACCAATATGTGATGTATCCTATAAGCAATGAACAAATCTAAGAAAATTTGAATTTTCTTAAAAAAAGGACTTTTTTTTGTTTTTAAAAAAAAAAATTGATTTATACATCCTTAGCTTACCTTTCATAATAACGTCAAATTAGATCATTACCGCTTCGTTCCTTCTTAATATCTAATCTCGTTTCCTGTTTTTAATGGCATAATGGCAACACTAGCCGTTTGCTAATATTTAAAAAAAAGGAAATTCCTTATATTTACTTTTTAAAAATTCAGAGTTTAAAAAAGGGAAATTACTTTTAGTCTATTTCAATGGAACTTAATAATATGATATAATATGAATATGAATAAACAAATAATTGTCCCTATCATAAGACAGTCTGCTGATGTTCATTCAATATTACAAATAAATCTGGGCGTTAACCTTTCATTAAATTCTATTAAAACGGACTATATTTGTTGATTGTTTAAATAACGGGTTTCAAAAGAACGTATTTGTACATTAGTGAATGATAAAGCGGGCTTCAATGATATGAAAAAATAACAAGATAATGAAACTACTACAAATTATTATTTTCAAGCAAACCTATATACGCTTCTTTACCATCTATCAGATACATGAAAAAGAAAGAGACCACGAATACTGCTGTCTCATTTCATCTCATGTACGCGGTAGCGATAATGTATCTATCAATAGATTCATTTGCTACCTGTCTATGGGCGAGGCTGCTCTTATATGTTCTTTGTGGCGTTCCACACTAATATGGTAATATCACTAATAACTTTTATTAAATTATTATCAATAAAATACAAGACACTTTAATTGTAGGTTTTATCCCTATGTTTAATTGGGACTACAAGAACTTATGGTAGATCCAGTTTCGTTAGCCAAGTTTCAAAATAACCCATAAACCGAGGTGAAGACTGAGTGAATTGAATTTTCAAAATTTTATAGTAATGTTACATTATGCGTTTAGTTTGAAATATTGAATTTATATTATATTCTGAAGACAGCTATAAAGGATTCCTGAAACGTGTCCATCGACCATACTTTGTAAATACAAAATAAGAAATAAATGTTATTTTACTTGCTCGTTGTTTTAATTGTATCGAGGATAAATAAAGGAAAGGCGAAACATTCAAACGAAGATTTTATGTAATTAATTATCATAACATCTTTTATTCTATATTATTTTTAAATTTTACATGCTTAGTTCAAACATTAAGAAAGAAATAATAATTTGTAACATCTGAATAATATACACAGTTCTATTTTACGATCCTTGTGTGATGAAAGACAAATTATATTAATATTGCAAAATATTCCATTGTTACAACGAATACTTTACAGTTACATTAAAAGGCAGAAGGGATCAAAGGTGGGTGCAATCACAAATGCTCGTAGTACCCATATTAAGATATGGCAAACGGGAGTTACAGAGGGCGCGTCACGTGTTCACCATAACAAAATATAGCTTTTACTTATCGCTTTTACTTATCCATTACTCTTCTATTATTATATACACAAACACCGCTCTCTACTGGATGATATTAAAAAATGTATCACAAAGATCCTTTCTAATTTCTACGGAAACTTGTATGTTTCGAGAGCATTATGCTGCATTCGACGTTTATGCTGTTACAAAATTTTATATATATATATATATACCAGCACTGAGATTACAATCACTACCGATACCTATTTCTCTATAAGTAATTCTTTATATACATACGACGGGTGAGCGACGCGACGCAGCATAATGCACTTAAAACATGGACACATTAAGCATTAAATTCACAATTCTAATAAACGGCGGATCAAAATATTTACATTACCATTTCATATACAGACAAACCACTGACATACTCGAGACCGGCAAGGGGTTGATTTCATGGCATCGTTAAAAAAAAAATCGTAAAATCTTTTTTAATACCTTTATAATACAAAAATAAAATAACACTACTAAAATATCATGTATATAATTCACTAGTTACCTATTTAGCCTTTAGGCGTTTTATTGCAACACATTCACTAAAGTCTATCATTATTATGATTATGCATTTAAGTATAAATATTGCGATTTAAGTAGTCCGCTATTTGGTGTAGACCATCATGTCCGAATTCTGGCTTGTACGGTATGTATTCCTATCAAATTAAAACATTACATCAGTGCCTTGGGGTTCGATTCAATTACACATTAACCACAATCGGTAGGCACACCATAATTCGGACATACAAGCCATAAACACTTATAATACTTGTATTTTGGCGAGACCGTTTATTTTTAATAAGAGTCCGCGCAATTTATTAGTTTTTGTGCATCTTCAACTCATAAAACGAGTTCCCCATATATTTTATAAATATATAATTTATTTTTGTATTAATTATACCTCGAATAATCTGCATGAAGTATGTGATTACGCCATTTAGCCAATATGCCTAATTTATTCTTCTCATCTGCCAAATTTCATTCAAATCTGTCAAGCAGCAGAAAATGTATAAGATTCTACCTTCACACCGAGTCTGCGAAGCAGGTAGGCAGAGCAATTACTGAGTATGCATGATTGCTTTATAAAATATATAACTATTATAAATAAAATTATAAGTTCCAAAAGCATTCTCTGAATACCAATGAATCAATCCAATTGTCTAAAAATAATAATTTCCATTAGTGGCTATGCCTGTGTCATATTGACGAATAAATTTAAAACTGGTGAGTATATGTGCTTTACATTGGGAGTACAAAGAAATCCTTACCGAGTCACAAAACCAGTCAGTAATTTTATGTCTCGTACATTTTAGATTTAGTACATTTTGGCGCACAAATTTGCCTATTTTGAGCAACTATATTACAGAGCGTCAAACACTGGGTTCTACAGAAAAATGCATGTAGTTTCACTACAAAACATCGTTACAATCTAATGTACATGGCCATTTACCGTCGCACGCTGATGACGTCTTAGAAATGAGATGTGCAATTGATTATAGTATTAAATAAAAAAAAAAAAAAAACTAACACTGGCACGAATTCATTAAATAAAATATATATCTGTAAAAGATAATTGAATTGAACAATTAGTAAATTCTGATCTCACAAAATTTAAGCACAGCTCATGTCTAAGTCGACATTTACATTAATTTAGTACTATTCTGTGGAGCTTAATTTAATCAAAGGGAGAATTCAACTAGCATTTTACATTACACTAAACAATATTTCTGTTTCAGTCGAGTTAATCCTGATTCAATTGTAACCTAAACATAGTTGGAGAAATTTTTAGATACATGGAAAATATTTTAAGTAGATTATAAAAATTACCAAAAAAAAAAAAGTCAAACTGTAAGTCTATCAAAATGATAGGCTCAATTACCATTACGTCCGTCATATATCGCGTAATGTTTGACTTGAGAACATCAATAAGGCCCAAAAAAATATCACCGAAGACGTATTCGAGGAAATTTATAAGCTTCTAATAATTAATAAGGCCCCGCGCACATCACTCACTTGACAATCATGGCCATGCAGGTACGAACAAAAAAGGACCCTACGTACGAAATGTATAACTAACAGAATATTTTGCAACGTGTAATTAGTTTAATCACTGGGACGATAACGAGATTACGTACCCTATTCAGTTAGCCCGCGGTCTCACAACATCTATTCGTTGTAACTGCACAGTAGTCATTATAATATTGTACAAACATGCCACAAATAATATTCACAATGGAGCGAAGTACTTGCGATATCACGATTCTATTATTTCAAAGATCTATCAACGATTAACCGCAAATGTCTAACACAAATAGACACAAATAGGAGACGTAGAAAACGTCCTAATTCTGAATGTATTTCAAATATGATGTAACAAGAGAGCAATATTATTTTTTTTAATATAAATCCTCATTGTATTGTATGTTAAATTTTGTAGAAAATTTTGTTAACAAATTGAATAAAAAAATTCAAGTATTCTTGAACCGAACAAAACCCTAATTATACTATAAGAAACATACAGTTTCTACTCAAAGCTTTCAATACGTTTTACTAATATCACCTGTGACAGAATTATACTGTGGCAATTTGGAAAATGTTTATTTTCAACCAACTTCAAAAAGAGGATTATTATTTAAGGCAAGTTCGAATGATACAGTCACCATGTTACTCTTGCTGTTAAAATGTCAAAAATGGACCAAAATTTATTCAATGTACAGCGCAAAACAAAATACTAACAGTACATTGTCAACTATAACAAAGCACATTGTAAAATAACTAACGGACTATATTTAAAAATAATAAACGCAAGAATATTATTTGCAGCGTGCTATAGAATAGAGAACTATAAAAGGGTTGTGATGTAAATTATAATAGAATAAAAAAAAATTTAAGAACTATCCATTCCACTCATTGTTCAATCACAGTTCTAAATACATTGTAAATATAATCACAATTGTGTCAAGTAAAATAAATGTACAAATGAATAGTAATATGTGAGGACCATGTTAGGACTAATAATATATATATAATACTTTTAGCATCGGTGAATTAGTTGCTTATCAGGAAGGAAAACGCCGTGTCCGAATCGCCACATTTGTGTTCATTTACCACAATCAAACCTATATCGAAAGGCAGCGTTAAAACAATTGCTAAAAAATGCAATTAACCTGGTTAGTCGCTAAAACGCGATATCGCCGATGCTAAAAATATTATGTACGACCCAAAGAGTCGATAATTAATTTATAACACAGCTGCCGTACGGCTTGTGATGATAGGTTACGATAAAACTGCCAAACATGTCCGCCAGGCGATAAGTTTGGACCCCGCCGTGGTGCGTCCAGCGAACGATATAATTTACAACCCTCTCGGCCCTCGACCGACGTCCAAACCCAACACGTGCGACATCACACGCATTCACTTAAATTATAACACAGATTTAACCTCTAAAATGGCTAATGCGATTCGTATCATCTCTAATAATGTGAAATGTCTAACACTAACAAGACCTACAGTCTAGGACGAGTCCGCGGACCCCCTATATACGCTACGAAAAGGTAAAACAAATAATAAAAACAACTATAATTTACTTAAATATTATGCGTACAAAAGTCCTATCTAACGCATCTAGACGCACTATATCGATAGGTTGTTATAATAAATAAACATATCAATAAAATACATAAATATTGTACATATATAAAAAATCTTTTATACCATTATACATACATAAGTTCTGCGTAGGTTACCTAGCTTTACCTTAAATTTTCTATATACAATATGTACAAGGGGGAAATAAAAACAATTTGTACTTGCAGAGAAACCGTGAAAATTAAAAACAGAAGAAACGGAAATATACAAACGCGCTCTCGGGCGCACTTACACGAGTCCATACAAAAGTTATATTAATTTTATGATAATACAAGCGACGGGCCGGCGCCGATGTGAGATTTACAAAAATATGTCTTATTTATACGTGCGCAGGGGAGCCCGGCCGCCTCTACCTGTCGCACCGCTTCCCGGACGCGCCATCTGTCGGACAAAGCACACATATACAAATTACAAACTACAAACTCTGTACATTAGGGGGTAAAGGGATTGTTAGTGTTGGGGATCAAACACAACCCCTTAGCTAGCAATATACCCTATTAGGTAGACCTCTAGGCGGTTCTCCCTGGAAAATCTTGGTTAATTCTTTATGAATTCATCACTATGGGCCAACTGACCTGTTTCATCCTCGTCTATCATCACTCACCGGTGCTTCACCAGTGTATATCGATAGCGAAGGCGGGGAACAATTTCATTATCATCCATTAAAAAAAGCCTGACTGCGGTTGCCATACACACATTATTTTACAAAAATTTTATATCACAGTGCACTAGATTAGAAGTATTATCAACTAATTTTGTTGAAAGGATATAAATAGATAAAAATAAAATAAGAAAAAAAAACTAAAGTTAAAAAACTGAAACAGGTTTAGATAAAGAAAGAAACAAAGAAAACAAAAGCATAAAAACAGAAGCGGGTAGGTTTAGACAAAGAGTTTAAAACAAAATTATTTGTGAATGCAGTTAAAATAAATAAATAAATAATTTCCAATACAAATTACTTCTACCGGTTTAAAGTTAAACATGGTAGCGATGGAGTGATCCCAATTGATAACAAAACTAAAAATACATTGTAAATATCAGTTTAGAATTTACGAAGGTATTGTGTAACATATACACGGATATTTATTGACTTTAAAAGAAACACAGAGGAGAACTGATTACCTGTAATATTTAAGTCTTTTTTCTTTTTTTCTTTTTAAACTGATATACCTAAAGAAAATTAAAGCCGAATCTAATCACGTATAGACAACAAAAATTTAAGTACGTAGAAAGGTCCCCCCTAAGGAATTGTGAGTAATGGAGACTGAGAATCCCATTGCTAGCAATATACCTAACCAGGTCGACTTCCTCGCGGTCCCCCTGGAAACTATCATGGTTAATTCCTGATGAATTCATCATGATGGGCTAACTGGCCTGTTTTCATTCTCATCTATCATCCTTCACTGGTGCTCCGCCAGCGTATCCCGTTAGCGCAGGTGGAGTTACCATACCATTTTCACCCATAAAAAAAAAGTACGCAGAAAAAAGAGAAAGAATATTCGCTGATTCACTACCCTTGGTCTAAACCCACCGTTGTATTACAAAAGGTAAACACTTTATCTTCACGCACCTCTGCGTCTGTTTGCCTTCTAAAGTAATCGAAGGTACTACTAAAACCGTCGTCTGTATCTGTCTGTGTGTGTATGTCGGGCGGGACCCGTGTGTGTGGCCTGTGTGGCACTGTATGGCCGAGTCGTACCGTTCTCCGTGGGCGGTCGCGCCTCTTCGTCGTCGGGGAGAGCGAGACCGAACTCACGACGTAATCGAGAGCTTAAATTCTCGCGCTGCAGTTCCAGCGCAGTTGGTTGGGCGTCGAATACGCCTGCAAATCAGTAGGACAACTGTTAACAGCGTATACTTATCTCAACTGTCAAGAGATAGAGAGGGGGGGGGGTGATGAGGTCTAAAGGGAAAGCTGTGTCCGTTGTAACCAGATATCTTTGGGGGGAAAGGGATTGTTAGTAATGGACACTGAGAATCCCATTGCTAGCAATGTACCCAACCAGATCGACCTCCTCGCGGTTCCCCTGAATTTCTAATGAATTTATCATGATGGGCTAACTGGCCTGTTTACATTCTCATCTATCACCCTCCACTGGTGCTCCGCCAGCGTATCCCATTAGCGTAGGCGGAGTTACCGTTAACATACCATTTTTACCCATAAAAAAAAAAACGATATCTTTATTAAAAGTTAATGTACAAAAACATTAGTAATAAATTAGTAGCAGTAGTACTAATGAATCTAATGGCCCCACTGCTAGCACCGTGTCATGTTGAGTCCTACATAGGAACCATCATGCTTAATTCAATTAAGAAAAACCTAAGGTTTGTTTGTGTAATTGTCGATAACTGCACATGGATTTACTCCGAGGACATACATAATTACATTTCTTAAATACACTATGTATATCTACGAGTATATACGTCATACAAATTTACACCTGTCTTAGGATACAAAGGGACAACATAACATTAAATGCTACGATTTAAATATATTTTAGGATATCTCGTATTAATCAATTTATTATTTTATATACCAAAATATAAATTTCTAGGGTTCTTTCGTACCTCCGAAGTAAAAAACGGAACCCTTATAGGATCACTTCGTTGTCCGTCCGTCCGTGTGTCAAGACCCATTATCACAAAAAAAAAAATTATGTTGATAATTTGGTACGGAACCCTCGTTGCGCGAGTTCGACTCGCACTTGACCGGCTTTTTTATATATTGTTATGATAGCGAATAGTTTAACAATACATTTATATTCATAAATGTGTCAATGTAACGGCCGATAAGACGGTTAGATAACATGAAAAAGCTTTTAGATTTGATTTATTCAAACTACAACATTATCTGCTACTTATTAAAACTAAATCGACGCACAATATACGAACGATCTATTGTGTAAAAACCATAATATTTTTAAGGAAAAATTTGTAAAAAAAAAAATGTGACTTTATACAAAAGTCGTCGGCATAGATTTTTACCACCGTGTAACTGAAGTACTGCATATTGGTACGATTGCATAGTTGTTTCAAAATTATAGAGTACGAAGGCAAACAGTAATCTTTAAGAGTATTTTTTATTTATTTTGTGTATTTAAATTTTAATTTTCTGAACCCATTAATTATCGTTTCTCTAAAACTATGGGCTCCCTTGTAATTTTTTATCTAAAAACTACTGAAACGATTTCGATAAAATGTCTATGGGACCAGTGTTTAAGTATATTCTTACAGATTAAAAAAAAAATTCAAATAAGTTTACAACTAACGGAGTTATAACAAAACATAAAAAAGAAAAAAAAAATTCAACTGAAGAACGTCCATACTTTTTTTGTTGGTAACATAGAAAAATAAATACAATCGAATTTAGAACGATTATCCACGAACATGTTCCGGAATACTGTGGGCCTACCATGAAATGTTTTCCGAAATTTCGGAGCCAAACGAAACAGAAATTTGATGTTAAAATTACATAATACATGCCGTTTGGAAATATTAAAAATGTTAAAATATTGTTCTTTTGGACTTTTATGATAGGATGTATGACGAACGAGACGTTCAACTCCATTTATTGGTCCGATTTTGGCATAAACGAAAACACGAAATTGAGACATTTCGGAATTTAATTTCATGGTAAACCCGCTGCGCTAGAGTAGTAGTAGTAATATTGAAGAGGTATAAAAATAAACATGCAGTTCGCTGGCACAGTGCCATGTTGCGGACTTGCTGCCACGTTATATCTCACAATAAGACTCGGGTGCACAGCGATTACCTCACTCTTTAGGTATTTGTATGGCTTGTTGGTATAAAAACAAGCATACTGTATGAATAATTAAGTTTTATATTTGTTACAACGCAATAATATACTCAACTCCAAGGTCGCGGCCCTGATCTTTGCTGCTATGGAGGAGATATTGTGATGGTTTGTGTGATATGATTTTTATTTGATTTAAATATTGTCATCCCGTTGATGTTACCATTAAATGTTTCTTTCCCACTGATATTAGTCGTCATACTCGGGTACGCGTTTTTTTTTTCATATTACCCTTCATATAGTATAAATACATACACCCATAACACGCCGAACCTCTATGTAAAATTATATAAAATATCATACAAGTATTTTATAAATGGTAAGTTAGCAGTTTAAAAAAAAATACTATATTTCTATTCTGTTTATATTAATAAAAAAAAAAAAATAATAAGTACGTGGGGAAGTTAAACTTTTTACAAGTGACTAAAAAAGGAAGTTGTGAATTAGCTCAGCATCATATACAACTCATACGGGTTGTATACGGAATAAAAGAAATACCTTTTATATTTGTTACCTCTTAATTCCGTCAGTTATAAACCGATTTGAATATTTTTTTATTAAAAGGATATACTTTCAGATAAAATTTCTATTGTCCCGTTCGTGTTTCTACCGTGAAGCAGTTGTGTTTGCATGGCTGTGTTTCGGTTTGAAGGGTGGGATATGGTGTGAATTTACTGGGTACAGAGGAATAACACCCGAGTCCTCAGGAATGGCAACGTATGGGGGGTATCATGGGCGAAACAGTATACTCTGTTATGTCCATAGTATAGCTCATGTCTATAGGCGACGGTTACCACTTTCCATCAGGTGGGCCGTCAGCTTGTTTGCCATTCTAAGTTGTATAAAAAAAAATTTTTTTTGGTACAACTTAAGTCCTTTTTTTTGACACAATCTTAAAATTATGATAAAAAAAAAATAACAATTAAATCGTCTCACAATTGAAGATATTACAATCGCATTATAACAAATATACCATAAATGTAAGTGTGTGTGTGTGTGTGTGTGTGTGTGTGTGTGTAGTTAAATTGATAATGTAATCGGTTAAGAGACCATATTCTATTAAGTATTATATTCAAATCGCTCGTCAAGTCGTTATGCAAGATTGTACGGCTAGTGGCTTTCGCTCGTATTCACTGCAATGTTAATAACAAACACTGAACAATGTAAACGTTCCATGGACGTCGATACACTATACAATATCTATTGAAATTCCATTTTCTACAGTATGACTAGCCGACTTGACTAGACCCAAGATCTACTGTTTACTAACGAAACCCTGTGCGATCTACCAAATAAATACTTCTTGAAATCACAAATGAAACGACATAGTTCAGTACGCACTTATGTAGTATTGTAGTATTTTTCATTTTATTAAGAGAAAAAAAACATAAAACTGAAAATTATTCCTAGTAACTACTTATTTATATTAGTGAGAGCATTGCGCCTGAGCATCTTCTCGATAGATTAGCAAAATATAATAATTTTCTGCTTTGCCACAATCGACTGGACTAATAGTCTCGATCGACCGGTTGGCCACTCCTGTTCTACAGTATGTAACAACGTAAACATTACAAAAAAAAAAAAAGCATACGACAAGGAATAGATTATTATTAGTTGTTAACTGTCCACTGCTGAACATAGGTCTAATCTATTAGGGAGATTATACCAATAGTTGCCACGCTTCGCAGATGGGTCGGTAACACCATTTACGCTTTTGGTGATACTTTAAACGGAACGTTACTGCCCATTGGTCGACAATTAAATTCCCTTAGTCGCCTCTTGTGACAACAACGGGAAAAGAAAGGGTGGCCCATTCGATACTAAGACAAAACAGCACAAATTACATTTGTATATCTGCTAATTTCTTTTCGTAATTTGGTAGAATTTTTTTTTGTTGATTTTCTAATAATAGTTACAAAGTTTAGTGACGCAATGCACAACATTGTAGTGCATCCTATTCCACTAACCGCAACTATTAGAAAGTGCATTCGGATAGTAACGTGTTAGATGCAACTCGACAGACCGCAAATCGACATTAACAAGCGGTGAGGCGAGTAGCGTTTACGCATTACAATTAACCAAGCTTGTAGAGCGTGGATGGTAATTTATATTAATTGCATAGCTGCATTTATGTTTGCGCTAAGTATACAATGCAAAATGTACTTTACACGCTGCTCTGTATTATTCCATCAAATTCTTCTAATATTTTATGTATAATTATGTATAATAATTATACATAATTGGTTATTAGAGTGCAGGACAGATTTTAATAAAATCTTAGATACAAAGGGTATGTATTAATGGGGGATAGTCTACTATCCACGTACATATAACACGTAGGCAAAAACGCGGGATATATATATATATATATATATATATATATGGGCAAACAAGCTACTAGCTTTAGCCGCGACTTCGCGTGAACGAGATAGTAGCATATATATAGAGATAGTATATATGTAGCCCCTTTTCCATATATATATATTACCAATTTCCTTTAGGAATTTCCAACGTTCCCTTCCTTTTTTCCCTCAATCATTTCCACCAACAAATGCATTCCTAAAGAGGGTTGACGTCAGGCAGGCGGCCGGTCATAAAACTAAGGCAAATCTTTTTGTAATATAGATAAAAAAATATATTACGCCGACCCCATATAATAATTGCGATAAGGGTAAGAAGAAGATATATTTACCAAGTCACAATTTACCATAGGTAATTATCCATAATGGTACCAGTACACCTATGTTAATTTAGTTCAAATTATCCTCTTTCCTGTTTACATCTAGAATATCGTACATTTGTGTATTGCTAAATTTAAATTAAAAATGGTTATTAAACATTAATATTTATACAAAATATAAGCAAATTTTTCTCCACCGCCCAATAAGTATATAATGTGTAAATAGATAAAAATAATCAAAGGACTCAGCATTCTCTCCCAGTCAACCATAGGGAAGTGTCAGAATACTCGAATGCGGTACTACTAATTATTGATATACATACATACTAAAATTACATATATAAACGAATAAATATATATGAATAACAAATATACTTACACATATATGATATATACTATATTATACACGAATTTGGGAATAATATAAAGCACTTATTGCTCGGATAAAAATAAAAAGTGAGCATGAACAATATTCTTAACCCTTAAATACCTGAAGTTTCAAATTTGATACCTGGGTTATAAATCGCATTGGGTACCTACAATCGATTTTATTTTAATATTTGTCTGTTTACATGTTACCAAATGTTTTTTTTTCAAAACAGATACATAAAAATATCGTTTTGATATTTTTACTATTTTTTCCCCATTAGTAAACACAGTAAAGGGTAGACTTATATATTTTTTAATTTGATTTAAAAAATCAGGCTTTAAGGGTTAAATCTAATGTCAGTAAATTTACACACACACACGTATACACATACATAATATGTATATTAAATAGTATACAAATAATCACCGATGTACAATTCCATTGGAAATTGCGCAGCAGTGATTAACGTACACACAGTCCAGCCTGCTCGCTATCATACACAGGATGCTGTTGGCGCTGGCACGTTTCTGCTCACCAGAAATGCGCACCTTTTCCGCATCGTGGAATTACACAAAATATTTACAATTTTAAAACGAGGGCCAATGACCATTGTGACTTCCTTTAATTTAAATATGATCGACGTTAATTTATACATATACGGTCGAAACACGACCGTGTCGACATAATTCTTGTCTCAAAATAATCTTAGTAGATGAAGACGCCACTAAACATTTTAATAATGAATGCTATTTAATTTACACACCCACACACATACACACACATCACCGTCAATTATGTTTTTAAAGATACACTCAGTATACACTGAGAAAACAATTGAAATATAATTTATGATTTTGTTCTACAAAAAAAAATTTGAATCGTGGTAAAACCAGTTATTTTTGATTTAAAATTCAAAATCAAAATCTAAGCTCATCTAGTACTTAATTTGGCAGTCGCACACATACTAATGGTGGCAGAATTAAACAAAATAATTTTAATCAACTAACCAGTGATATGGGATTCCGCAAAAAAAAAAAAAAAAGTTAAGTAAAATATTTAATAATTCTTTGTTACTTAAACACCCTGTATTGAACCTGGATTGTTTGTTTATCGTAAAGCAATATTTTTATTATTGCAATACGAACTTTGCATACTCTACCAGAAACAATGAAAAAGTTTTAATTTTTTGTACGAACCCTTCTGATGTCGGGCCATACAAAAAAAATATACATTTATTTACATAAAAATAATTTTAAATAGTTTTTTTTTTTATTTCAAAAGAGGGTGGTTTTCAAGCGCAGTGCGATTATTTCTAGATGCCACTGCAGGCCAGGATACATTGTAGCACCAATGAGGCATAAACCAACATTGCCCATCGAGTTCTATAAAGATTTCAAATCACAGTACCTAGTAATTTGACTGCCCTTTAAACCTGTACAGAGGCACCAGTAGAGAACTTCTTAATTATAGGAAGCTAGCTTTTAACAGCAACTTTGTCCGCGTGACTGGGATCGAGAAGCCTATATCCTCCATCCCATATAGTTCCTATATACCAAATTTCATAGTAATCGATTAAGCCGTTAAGACGCATTAAGGTACCAAACTCACTATCATTGGGATGGAGAAAGAACTTGTTAGTAATAGAGTCTGACCCAGTGCTAGCAATACATCCTAACAGGTCGACCTCCACGCGGTTACCCCTGAAAATTATCGTGATTAATTGTCAAATTAGGTGTGACTTCATCCTCTCCTATCATTCTTCAATGGGGCCCGCTAACATATACAGATAGTGCGGGCGGGGCTACCATTCCATTACCGCCCATTACAAAAAAACTCATTTTCATATTTATAACTTTACTAAGGATCGACAACAAGACGAGACAGGTGTGGTTACCTTTGAGGGCATGCGAAGAGGAGAGTTCGCGGTGCAGGCGCTGCTCGAGGTCGTCGGCCGCCTGCGCCGCGGCCGCCTCGAGCCGCTGCGGCGACAGCGAGGCCGCGCCCGACGACTCCGACGACCACTCGGGCCCGCCCTCCGGCCCCGCGCCCTCGCCCTCGCCGCCCTCGCCGCCCTCGCCCTCCGCCTCCACGCCGCCGCCCGGCCCAGCGGGGCCCTTGTGTCGCTTGCGGTATTCGCTGATAGAGAGCTGCGCAATAAATCCGATATAAATATTTTACCAGAGGGAGACTTTGTAAAAAAGTCGATTGCTTGGGTACCTCTGTCCCATTCGTGTTTCAACCGTGAAGCAGTTGTGTTTCAGCATGACTGTGCTTCGGTTTAAAGGGTGGGATATGGCGTGAATTTACTGGGTGCAGAGGAATAACACCTGAGTCCTCAGGAATGGCAACGCATGGGAGGTATCATGGGCGAAACAGTATACTCTGTTATGTCCATGGTACTGCTCATGTCTATAGGCAACGTCAGCTTGTTTGACATTCTAAGTTGTATAAAACAAAAACACTGATGGCTACCAACCAAAATTATGTTTAAAGAAGAATAAAAATAATAATAAAACAAGAGGGATACTGTATAAAAGTGGTTTGATTGATTATCATTACCATTTGTGTTTCCATGGCTGTGTTTTGGTTTAAAAGGTGGGATATGGCAATGAAATTAGAAGCATAACACTATAGGCGACGGTTCCCACTTTCCATCAAATGAACCGTCAGTTTGTTTACGAATTTTTTATAAAAAAATAATTACAATTAGAAAATACACAACCCTTATATATACAAAATAAATGTTTATAAATAAAATCATATATAATTAAAAGAAAATATACATTCTCAATAGAATCTGCTCAGAATTACTCTGGTTACATTAAAACAAGCTAGTGTGCATCCACAAAAATTGTATGAGTAATTGCTACAATTTCTGATTCTAGTAAATTATAAATAAATCTTTTAATTAAAATATTTGTTAATATATATTAACAATATAGAACAAGTAACTTCAAAGAATTTTTTTTTTATAATTTTCCGTAAACAATTGTCGTAAACTTATCTCTAAAAATAAAATCTCTATTGTAAGAACCAATACGAAATTAATTAAATACATAATCGGGACTTAACGTGATTTAAAAGCCTTTACAAGTAAAAAGTACCTACATACCAGTTTTTTTATTGACAACGTTTTACTATGACTATTTACCTGTATAGGTATTTACATCGCATCAAGCCTTGATTGTGTATTTAAAATATGTGTAAACATGGCAAGTTTAAAATTAAATAAAATAGTAATTTGACGAAATTATATATTAGCATAATATTATTAAAATATTGAGTTAAGGAATAAGTTTAGAGGAATGGCAATCCATTATCACGAGAGTTAAACATTGCATATGTGACGTAATTACATTTAAATATAAATATGTTAAACGTGCAATGTTCACCTCTAAGTAAGCAATTCCAATATTATATGTATTTTTTTACAACACAGGGGGCAAACGAGCATGCGGCTCACCTGGTGGTAAGTGACTACCGCCGCCCATGATCACCCACAACATTAAAGGCATTGCAGGTGTGCTGCCGGCCTTTTAAAAAGGAATAAGCTCTTTTTTTGGACATTATGATGTCGTATCGGTTCGAAAATACTGCTGAGTATGTGAAACTAATTTTATACCCGCTACTTCATACGGGCGGATTTCAAAAGTTTAAAAACTAATAAAATAGACAAATTCTACATGGCATATTAAAATATCTGCCAATTTTTAAGGTATAACTTTTAGGAATATGTCAGTGAAACCAAATTCAATTTGGTGCAATAGTTTTTGCGTGAACAAACATATAGTATATTAAAATTTCTGATTTTTTTTCCCATTACTTGTATTTTACGAATACCTAGATTTTTGCTGCTACTTCGTACATGTAGATTTCAGAAGATGAGGACAACCAATTAAATAGACAACATCTAGATAACCTATCAAGTTAAAACATACAAGTATTTATGTTATAATGTAAAATAAATGTCAGAAGTATAACTGTAAAAGTCACATCCAATTTGACGTAATACTGGATCAAACAAACATACAGACAGATAATTTTTTTTAAATGATTATTTTAGCTACTATTGTTTACATTAAAACCTATTACGTAATTTTTTTTAAATACCTTTCATATACAGAAATAGTCCAGTTACAATTTTATTATATTAGCGAGATTGTAATGAGATATACATTTATTCAAGCGTCAATGATTATATTTATCTTATCTTGAACCCATTTAGATATATATTTGTAGTACAATGTTGTAGATGAGACATGTTATTAAAATACATAATGTACTGACCTTCCTTCTGACAGGTTTAGGTTTCTCGGCCGGCGGCGGGTTGAGTCGAGGGTCGTTGGTCCTCGGACAGTACGGCTTACTTGTAGGCTTCGGAGACGGCGACGACAGCAAGTCCGACTTATTGGAGCTCTTCAACACCCCCGATAGTATCACACTGTTATTAGAGTCCATACTGTTCACACGATTCAATATTTCATGGACATTTTTTAACTCGTCCACCACTAGCGTGTCTTTTTCCACTATATTGTTATCTAAACTTGTAGTTTTATCTATTGCACTCTTTATTATAGACGGCACGTTTTCATTAATGGGACTCTCGTGGTTGAAAGTTGGGTACATATTGCTGAATATCCCAGAGAATAATCCTGTTGAACTGAAGCGCGAGGAGAAAGGTAACGTCGAACTATCTAGCGGCAACGATTTTTCAATGCCGCAGAAATGTTTCTCTTCGGTTATCTCCACGGGTGATATCGCTCTGATGGGTTTCGTTTCGTTCAATGGCTCTTCAGGCAACGGGATGGCCTCCGGTGGGGGTATGAATGGTACTAGATTGTCCTCCTCCGGTAACGGTATGTTTTCTGGTGAAGGCAACGGTATAGATTCTATGGGTGGCAACGGGATATTCTCCGGCGACACGTGCATGTCGTCGTGGGTGTCGCCGTTCATCTCCGGCGATTTGGAACTGCTAGTGTCGTTCTCTGTGCGCAACTGAATACTGATTTGGTCGTCCACCATGTTGAGATCAAAATTTAAGTTCACCTTCTTCCGCTTCTCTTTCGGCTTCTTGTTCCTACTTTTCAGTATTTGAATGTTCTCCGTGTGGAATGAATGGATCTTTTTCTGTATGTCGTCCATTTCGTCTCGTTGCGGGGACGAGTTGCCACTGGTGTCAGCCGACTGACAACTATTTATTTTATCGTTTGGACTGTCTATACCCTTGATATCACTACAGCTGTTCTCGTTAGATTCTAATTTGGGCTGGGCTGACACGGTCGTGTCGATCTCCATCGGCACAACTTTGTTGTAATTTGTGTCTTCAATATCAACATTATTATTATTAGTTTTTATATCTTCTGGCTTTGTGATCTCTGGTAACATACGATATTCACCAGTAGGCGGCACTCCAATGATCCTCCTTATATTTTCACTATCGTGTGGAACTATATTTACATTCAAAACATCATTGTCCATATTGCACTGATCGTCTGAACCCTGACCACTGTCAGACCTCGTCCGATCCCTTCCATAGATGCTATCCATTATATTTCTTACTTTATACTGTCTAGCAGCTGACTGCGAATCGTCTTTTACTGGTGAGTCTTCTGATGTTAAAACAGGCGAGACTTCGTCAACACACTGCACAAATAAAAGCTGTTAGTAATTCATTAAATAGAATGTTTTAATTAAATATATTTATATGAGAACACTTACAGGCACAATAGGATTCTGTTCACAGGACAACGATTCTCTTGCTAACCTCCTCTTCTTTAATGGGGTTATCATTTCATTAGGCGGTGATTCTGAAACAAATACATCTACATTTCAACATAACATACACTGTCCATTTATAAGTAATTTATTCATTTCATTATTATATATAGAGGTTTACACACCTGCTGAAGGAGAGTCACTTTCTTCACTTATAGCTTGTCGGAGCCATCTCTTTTTGGCACTGTGCTGTGGTACTATTGTTGGTGTCACTTCTGTCACTTCTGCTGGAGTGTTTCGTGTAATCCTTCTAGCTTTTTTCGGAGGTTTATTTCTATCTCTAATAGGTGTTCTAGGTGGTGAAGAATGCGCATTGTCTTCATCGTGATCTATATCCTGTGCGCCACTCAAATCGCCAATCATCGTCGATGCTACTTGGACGAGACTCTCCAACGAGGTCGCCCCCACTAAAGAGGGCTGGTATGGAGAACGGTAGGGAGAGGGCGTCCTCTCTGGAGATCGTCCGATCCATTCCGTCGCGATTGTCTTTTTTGTTTTGGGCAGCTTAAAAGTGGACTCGACGGAACCGACTGCAGCTTCAACTAATAAACAAGCAGAGCTGAGACCAAGATCCTGGAAAACAAATTGTTAATTATTTTTACACATTAGTGTAGGACAAAGGATGATGCTATTTTTACACGGACAAAAATGTCTTTTTCTCAACAAATATTTATAACAATTATGATAGAAAAAAGAACCTGTTTTAAATTAAAGCAAGATTATTTTTCATATTGAGTTACTATGTTCATCTGTGACTCTTTAGTAATAAAACTAATACGATAAAGTATTAACAGATACCTCAGTGGGTGCGAGCGAGCGCGGCGGCAGGGTGGGCGCGGCGTGTGCGGGGTGGGCATGTGTGTGGGCGTGCGGGTGGGCGCGGGTGGCGGGCGGCGGCGACGGGGACGGGCGGCCCTCGTCGCCTGACGTCACCATGTCACTGTCCGCCGAGTTCAGCCGCCGCCGGTTGCACTGCGACGTCGTGCGCGCTCGCCCCTTGCGTCTGTACAACACGGGCCAGATGAATTTCGTAATTTTTTTTTTAAAGAATCGTATCTAATAAGACCAAGACGTCTGCAATACTAGAGATATTGCTCACACTAAAGATCCTTTTAGTTGAATTTCATGTGTCAATTGTAGTAATTCTATTATATATAAACTTACTTTAAGAGTCGAAAAACATTTAAAATAAATAAAGGATTTAAATACATGTATTTTTTGTTAATTTACTCACTTTCTACGCTTTTTAGTAGCATTTTGTATTTCTTCTTCATCTTCTTTCTCTGTTGCATTAGGATGAGGATCAGATTCTCTCCTCTTCTGCCTCTCCTTTACTTCTTGTTTACGCTGTTCTGCTTTTTCCATTCTTTCAAAGGCCTTCATTATTGCTTCCATTTTCCTTTCTTCACGCGTCTGAAATAATAAATAAATTTTTAATACTAATGTAATTAATAACTATAGGAGAGATATTTTGCTAAATGAAATAAACATCTCACCATTTTTCTTTTTTCCTTCTCTTTTCCTTTATTGACAGTCTGTATTTTATCTTGAGAGTCATCCGTTTTGTCATCCATGGAGTCTTGATTGACACACGTTGTCCTGCTAGACCTAGAGGACCTGTCGTGACACGCCGACTTTGCGGTGAACTCCCTGGTCGCCGGCCTCTCGTCTTCTTGTTTAATTTCCTGTTTAACATCTTCTTTAGGTTCCTCTTCTTTTGTAATCGATTTATCCTCAATTTTCTCGGGTTTCTTCTCTTCTTCTTCATCAAAATACAAATCCTCATTTTCAGGTGGACTTTCGTCTACCTCCTTCTTAGTTTTTATTTCTTCAGGGATAGGTTCTGGATCTGGTTCAGATTTCATTGGTTGCTCTTCAGGCTTTTCTTTGGGTATAGCATAGTCTGGTTCATCGAACTCTGGCTTTAATTCTTCTTTTGAAAACAAATCTATGTCAGGTTTTATGTCTTGCAACACCGGCTGATCATAATTATATGGTGTAATGTTCTCCTTTATTGGTGACATTGGTGGGCATTCCTGTTTGATAGGAGACTTCTTTTCAACTTTAACAGGCAAACTTGGCGTGAATTCTTTGACTGGCGTAGTCGGCTGTGGCTCAGGTGGTGGCGACAGTGGGGACGATGTGCTAAAACATCGATTTCTACTTCTCTTTTCTCTAGGAGGATAATCGACACCCTTTCTCGACACCACAGAATTTAAACCATTCACTTTACAATGTTTTGGATTGCCGCAAGCACATGGCTGTTTACTCCCATCTGTGTCATGTCCAACAGTAATTTCTATATTTGACTGAATAACACCAATAGTAACCAAATATACATGTAATGCACCTTTAACAATACAATGCTGAAGTTCAGCATTAGGCTTACAAGATCTCCGTACGAATCTCGCTTCATTGCCGTATGTTCTTGTATCAATACATATTTGAGTATTGTCTTTAGGCAGCCTATAAAAGAAGACAAACGGGCCAGGTTTCTGACTACCTGCCCTGGAGGAATTTTGTAATTGTGGCCGGTGTTGATTGGACAACATGTATTTACCCCGCAATTCAATTATAGGAGTATTCTCTTTCAGCTCTTTAGTGGAAATAAGGATTTTTCCGCCGGCATGGGGTACTGTGGTACATAAATGTGCAGTTATTGCTGACGCCATGTTTGGTGTGTTACCCAGTCTACTACTGTACTTGACGATTTTAGCTCGCAGTTCCGGACTGTAATGATTAGTCATTGCAAGTTCATATGAATCTTGCCAATGTGACTGATTGGACAAGTTTGAATTGTATTTATTTCGATTCATCATCATTTCCTTCTTACGTTTAACTCTCTTTTCTGTCAGTTTTCGTTTACTTCCCTTCCTAAGAACTTCTGCTTTCTTAGGTCTTTTAGGACCACGTTTTGGCAATGTAAGTGACGGTTGCGGTAATGGTGGTAATACTGGGACATTTGAATTGTATGTAGTGACAAACGACCCACTGGTATTTGTGTAAGTAGTAACAGTTAATAATCTTTTCCTTCTTTGGCCGGCATGGGGGCTACTTTCGGACGAATCAGAATCCGAAGCCCCAAGGGCACTCAATTCTTCTCGTTTCCTTAACTGGATGGCTCGGGCATGACGGCGGTCAATAGGCCGGGGTAAACATAACTCACACATATAAGCATCTGGTATGTTCTGTCGGTCGATACCCATGCAGTCAACGTGTTGCCACTCGCCACATCGATCGCAACATATCATGTAACCGTCGTCATGTGTGAAATCGCAAATGCATCTCGTTTTACCTTCTTCTTCGCCTTCGGGAGCGGTTTCCGTGTCGCTGCCGCCCCTTGTCGCTTCTCGTGCTCTGTCGCCGTCCAGAGAAGATATCACTGAAGCCGTATCGTCGTCTTGCGACGGTAACGGCTGCGGTTTATACGTTAAGGTCCCCATCTGAATGTTACTTATAGTAGTCACTGGAGTCGGGGGACACACAACACTGGTCGGTGTAGTTACTGGTAACTCATATGCAGTTGTGGACATAATAATTGGGGAACTTCTCTTCATCGGACTTATTGGTGCAGTGGTTTGGGTTGGAGAGACAATAGCAGTTGGTGCAGAAGATGTTGTAATAGTTGGTGTAGGGGTAGTAGGCTGCTTTTGTGCAGGAAGAGCATAGGTATGATCCAGCATGATGAACGCTAATGTTTGGAATGAATACCGCCTCAGTTCTTCAGATAAATTTGGCCTTTCCTCCATTCCTATTATATCATCTGCTGTTAGTAATGTAGATTTGTCGCCACTGAAAAATAAATAACATATTTAAATTAGTTATACAAAGTATAGAAATTATAAACATTATGAAAATATTTTTTTTTTATAAAATAAATAGTTACTTACAAAACAATTCTCTTTTGATTGTTTGATTTTATTGATAAAATTTCATCCATATTTATAGTTGGCGAAGTGAGAACAGTAGTGACAACTGGATTGGGAGTAGGTTGTAACATTAATTTGGGTTTAGACAAAGAATGCAATATTTGAGCAGTGAGCTGCTGATTAGCAGACACTTGCGATACAGTGGAGATCTGATTATCTGTAGAACCATAAGTTTGTACATAACGCAAGTTAGGTGTAGACCCCGATTGAACATAATGAGGACCTTTTGGTAAACTTGTACTTATAGGAGCAGTTGAGATTAACACTGGGCCGCATGGTGACTGGAGCACTAAGCGCTCCCCTTTTGAAGGAAACTTCGGAACTGACAAAGGCTGTTGCTGAATATTTGGTTTTTCAGTTGGGCTTCCAACTTTTTGTATTATCTTAGAATTATTGGAATCGTTGTTACTGTATGTCGCTGGCTGTGTTGATTGGTTCTTGTAAGCAATATTACATGTAGAAGCTTTTGTTTCTGGCTTATGAGCACCACCAGTTTGTTGTATGATTTTGATGGCTCTTGACTGGTTCTTTTGCCCAGACACTTGACTCGAGTTTTTTGAGCCCTTCGTAGTATTTACTGATTTTCTTCCAGAATGAACTGACATCTTGTTTGGACCAGAAACAACTCTTGATAGAATATGGCACTGAGTGTTGCCAGAAGATGCAGCAACCATTGCATTTAAATTAGCACCGTTGTTTACTTTATTCAATGTTTTATTTAAGTTTGTGCTTTTAGTAAAAGTATGACTGTAAGAAACATTTTTGATAGGACTGTTGTTTATAACATTAGGGGCGAGAGTTGAGCATCCAATTAGCGACTGGCTTAATGATTGATTTTTAGTCGGTTTCGTACATAGTACTGAATTATTCAAATGCTTCTGAGAAACCACATTTGTGCTCCATTTGTAGAAATGAGATTGAGTGCCATATACAGGTGTAATTTCTTTACTCTGAGTAATGTATTGTGGAGAATAAGTAGGATTTTTTGGTAAAGATATGTTACTTAATATCTGAACTTTAGATGTTTTTGGACGATTGATATAATTAGTCTCTGTAACAATGTTAGCTCTTCTACCTACTTGATTGGTATCATTAACATAACTTTCACTGGTAATTATTATTTGAGAGACCCCACTTTGTGACTGGTCATCCTCACTTTTACTATCAGTAGGAGCACTAGTCGCAAGAATGGTTGTAGGCAACCACAATGTTTGATTACCTGTAACATCTTGTGACACATTCTGTATTGCTGTAATATTTCCTGCTGCTGTGTCAACATTTATAGTGAAATTTTGTGGCAGTTTAGTGACATTTTGTACAATTGCAGTATTCAATGGGGCTTGAATGAGAGTAGCTGAATTCTCTACATAGCTACCATCATTGGAGTCATCCGCTTCTTGTAAAATTGGGTAGGCAATGTGTCCTACATTATCTAGGCTAGTCTCTTCAATTCTAACTATTCCAGAAAGGGTATCAACGGACATTTCTGTATCACATCTTTTCTCTGCAATGTGATATTCTACTTCCTTATCTATTTTATTCTGAACAACCTGAATAATGCTTTCAGGGTTTGTAGAATCAGGTTCAGGATCACCCTGTGTGGGAGAAAGGGGGACAGCCCTCAAAACAGGAGTTCGTACACTTGACACATTCATATTATCTGTTAATTTGTGATCCAATAAATGTTCATATACATTTTCACTGGGGGTGGCCGGCCCGTAATCCTATAAAAAAAGCATAAAAGTATTTTAAATTTATAAACAGCAGCTTCAAAATGTTACACATACAACATACATTTGCAAAATGTTTATCATTCGCTTACAAGGCCAAATATTTTGACTGTACAAAAAAAAAATTGAAGTTCTGTTATATTGCTTGCATACATATAACATTTCAAAATATTCAGATTTTAAATGTTTAAGTATATAGTAACTGAATAGTTGCCTCCCCCTCCCTCATAAAATATATTGAATGTATTATCATATAATCAACATATATTGTGAATACAACTGGAATAATGTAGTGACAATCAAATGCCCTCATTCAGCTGTGGTTCCTGATAATGATTTCAGCAATAAATGAACATATAAAAATGCACAAATGTTTTACACACCCTACAAGTAAAACTACAATATTACAAATGAAATTAACTAGTAACTAAAAAGGTCTGTAATGAATACACTTTTGGTACAAAATCTTTATTAGGTATATTCACATAATTAATACAAACTATAATTGAAGTATTAATATACTTTTCCCTTTATAGCATAATAGCAAATAAGTAGTAAAAATATAGCATAAAAATAAAGATAAATTTACTTATTATTAGCCTTTGCTTCTACTTTAATTGTAATTTATTCCCAACAAGATACAAAGTGAAATTCTATTGATTTAAAGTTCTTGTTAATATAACAGATATATATTTATTAAGCATTCATTTTACACAAAAGGGTGAAGATGAACACAGGGGACAATTTTTTATCATATTAGTGGCACAAATAATTGTCAACTTTTGGATGAGAGTTAATAAAAGATAGTGACAAGGTTATTGATTATAATATAGTGTACTAAGGTTAAATTGATGTCAAAAATGTACTCACTTGGCGGGCCGCAGGTTTATATTCTGATGTAGCTGACATACCGTAAATACTATCATCTTGGGTCAAGCCCGAGATGACGCCTTGGAGTGCACCTCGGCCTCCAAACTTATTTCATGTGACTGCAATTGAAAATTGACTTTTTACCCATATATCTTCAAAATCTTCGCGAATACGGACGATGTGTACCATAATGATATCGGTAAAAATATTTTTAATCCAACACTACTAAAGGTACAAATCTCGAGGTCATTGTTCCAAATTCAAGAGGAAAGTCACTTTAAATTGTGTCCTACGACAAAATTTCAACAATAAAAATAATTTTATACACTGATATCACAATAATAGCAGAATATAAGCAATAAATATGTGAATAGGTTAATCCACTGCCGCCATTATTGTCGCACGGAAACAGAAATGTCTCGGTAATAAACATCAAAAAAAGTAAACACTAACCTAAAAGACAATATTTAACTGAAAAATACTTGAAGAGATTCTCAAAATAAGCATAAATAAAGGTATGATATAGTCACCGCTCTTGTACAGTAACAAAGGGCCTCAAAATATAGGTACATACAAAAATGAGGTTTGTATATTTATATCACCTCAAAAACGTATTAATGACTTAAGAATAAAAATTACGCAAATAAATAAGGGACAGGTATATAAAAGCACTATATATTCAATAAATATGACAACATCACAATAGCTAGGAACTATGAAATCCAGATGTAAACACTTTTTAAGAAAATACTGTAAGAAATTTATACTAACCTGTATGCCAAAGATTTATGAACACCTATGAAGTAGCGAAACTGTTTCCATCATATAATTGCATAGCACATATAAAATAAGCCTTAAAGTTCGAAACTACGACCAAAACATTCACAAGACTCGAAGATGGCGGCCATTGCATTTTCTTGATACAAAACAACGGGGTTTCATGAAACATGTCGAAGGATTTGTACTTCCGGTCAAATAAGATTTTTTTAATCCAATTAGATTAAATTATAACATATCTTTAGATAAACACTACTTACATAAATGAAGTAATGAAAAAAATTTAAACTAATTAATTTTAAAATTTTAATATTATTGTATATGTGGATTTAAAAATTTTTTAAATTATAAATTATAGTGTTTATATATCAATTTGTCTATGATTGAATTTCCGCTTACTTCATAGATAATTTCCTAACTTTTCCATAGTGCAGCATAGAGTATAACAACAGAAGCAATTTTTTTTTTTTTTATTAAATGATACAGTTAAAGACATAATATTTTATAGCCGATTCTTAATCTATTCATACAATTTTTTATGCTTTTCTACGTTCCTTATTAAATCTATTTTATAAATTTGAGAAGAAATAATGTTCTTCAGATATGTGACTGATAGTTTTACAACTTTATCAATACTATTAAATTAAATATCCGCAAAAGTTCGAGGAACGGGGTTCGCTTGTCGAGGTGTCATTAATAGTGACAACATGAATTTGACGCACATGTCGATGAACTCGATAGTGAAAATTAAAAAAATTTCTCGGCCTCGAGCTCATCATCGCTAATGAGCGTTGGGGAGAGTGAGCAGGGGTATTTTGGTCGGTGTTTAGGCTGGAGTGCGATTTGCCGCAGCGACAGCTGAGCGGCTCGCATTAACGCACACGTAACGTCGGCGTGAGAGCAAGACGGGACGACGGTGGTGAGTCGTTGAAATCCTAGTTTTTCAGTCTGCATTAGCACAGATGACGTCGGAGAGGGCGGTGTCCATCGTTTGTAGGCAACAGACACGTTAACGATCTGAGTAGTAGACCTATAGGCGCTTGATTTGCCTCTCGCAGTAATACTACTGCGGTCGATGAGGGTTCCGGGACGCATTCCAAGATGATGAGGGATGACAATAAAACGGTTCAAACTTTGGGACAAATAGAGACTTTGTCGGGTCTATTTTTTTTATTATTAATGAATAATAATGGAATAGCAAACCCGTCTGCGCTAACAATATACGCTGGCAGGGCACCAGTGAGGGATAATACGTAAGAATGAAAAGGCATGTCAGTTAGCCCATCGTGATGATTTCCAAGTGTATTAGAAAATGTTTGGTATGCCAATTATTTGTAAATAAGAAATTTTACATTACTAGATTATATATTCGACACATTTTATGTAGAAAGTATGCAAGCAGGTTGTATCTGAATTTGGTAGGGTCATACAGCCGTATAATATTTTTTATATACTAGCCTGCTATGAATCGACAAAAATAGCAACTGATGGTGTATTTTTCATCCTCTTTTTACTAATTATATTTGCATAAAAAGGAGTCGACCATATGATTTACAGTTTTTATCAATCCTTCCATATAAATCCTTGTTCTTAGGCCTTTACGAATAATAAATAGTTATATTTATGACAAATGCCATAAATACAATGAGCAACACACTATATGAATTATGCATTCCATCTATTCTATCCCGAAATCTTTGGTAAAGGCCTAGAAATCTTAGGTAAAGGCTAAGATTTTGGAATAGAATACATGGAACGCAACAATTCGTATAATATATTGCTTGTTGTATTGTGAAGTTGTAAATGTGTTAGAAAGATACAAATATATAAAAACGCATCCGCTTTTTGAATAGTCCATTTCTATGGATTTCTATAGTTTACTTCTGTAAATTATTCAGGTTATTTCCAACGCTGGTTTTATTGGTAGTATAACCTTACGAAGTTCTGAGAAGATCTATTTATATACTTTCTACACAAAGAGAATCGAATAAATAATTTAGTCATAAAATTTGTTAATGGCGAATTGTTGGCGAATTCAACTGCAATTTTAAAATCTAAAAAGAAACTTTGAATTTTCATTGAAAGATACAGATCTCATCCATCGCGTAAAGTTAATATAATTAGAAAAACAAGTTTTCATTCGTAAGTAACAATTCCATTCAACCCAAATTTTAGATCATGTTATTTTTCGTGGCCAACCATTGTTTACGTACCTACCTAATTATTGTTTTGGGCGTGCTATCATTTTAAATAGCGAGTTTAAAATGATAGCACGATCAAAAATCATCAAGAAATTTAATGAGCAGTAAGAATCATATTCTCTGGACCTTTCGCACATCGTATGAGATAACGGTGCGCATGAGAAATAATTGGTGACTAGGTTGTTTTTACTGTATATATATACCACTATATAATTGTACACTGATAAAATTATTGCGTACTTTAGCTAGTGCAAGGCAATTGTGACAGCTAAACTTTTGATGTTCTGTTTTTAAGATAAACGGTTTACTGCGTCCGTATAAATATTTGTGGAATATTTTAACACCGAATATTATTACCATCGCCTCTTTTTGAATTTAGTAATAGTTTTTCTTGCTAGACGACAGCAACCTCGAGGTGAAAGCCAAGGCGCGGTCCTGTTGCAAGGGCCCACGGGATTCGTGTTGGCTGTCACATCGGGCTTGTAGTGCGCGAGCACACTCCGATACTAACTCGCGCTACACAATTGCCATCGCGCGGCGCTGCTGCTTACCCTACTCCCATGGCGTACTACCGTGGAGTAGCGCATTCAAACAGTGCTTTTATTTTTTGTACAACTTAGAATGGCAAACAAGCTGACGGCCCACCTGATGGAAATGGAAAGTGGTTACCGTCGCCTATAGACATGAGCAGTACCATGGACATAACAGAGTATGCTGTTTCGCCCATAATACACTCCATACGTTGCCATTCCTGAGGATTCAGGTGTTGTTCCTCTGTACCCTGTAAATTCACGCCATATCCCACCCATCAGAGTAGGGGGAAAGGGATTGTTAGTAACGGGGACTGAGAATACCCATTGCTAGCAATATACCCAACCAGGTTGACCTCCTCGCAGTTCCCCCTGGAAACATGGTTAATTCTTGATGAATTCATTATGATGGGCTAACTAGCCTGTTTTCATTCTCATCGATCACCTCTCACTGGTGCTCCGCCAGAGTATCCTGTTAGCGTAGGCAGGGTTACCATTCTATTTTCACCCATCAAATAACCCTTCAAAGTGTGGTTAACGCATTAGGAATAAAATTCCTAATTAATATTAATAACTTATAGAAACCTTTGTATTTCTGCTACATTGTTCTGTTGCGAGGCGTTAATAATACCTTGTACCTTATTTGTACTTAAATACGTCATACTCGGCTTTAAAATTTCACATTTTTCTTTTTGCAATTGTATCTGTATTATTAATCTAGAGAAATCCTCTTTCAGATGCATTTTTTATTACAACCTGTGATACAAATGTTATCGAGCGAGCGACAGTAATGTTGTCATCGTTTTTTGAAAATTAGCTGGAGTATTAACCAACCTATACCTAAACGAGCATATTTTTTCAAATTTTGTATAGTTTTTACTCTCACCAAACTTAGCAAATACCTATTTAATACGCGGCAATGGATATTTGTCAAATATAAGATAGCAATCTCTGGCTATCCGGAAAATCATTATTTTATTAATTCATAAAATAATAATTTTTCAATACAGGAACTATGGGTGTCGCTTATTCGGAATTGTTAACGAGCATTAAAATGTCTGAACCGACTAAGTGTTAAGTTTTACTTCCATCTTCTCTCTAAGGACAAAGCTTTTCTTTTAATTCCAAATTAAACTTAATATATTATATAGACTATATTATTTTATTATCAATCTTAAATAATATATTAGAGATAATAAATTGAAGCGAGACAAAATCGCACCCAGGCAGTAAAGGGCTTCTATTTTTAACTATAAATATTTTTATTGTTTCAAGTTTTACCTCCAAATTTTATTTTCGAGTTGAAATATCCGACTGGCGTGATTTTACATCCGTTATATAGACTCGTATTCATTTTGCAATTGTGTAATATATGGTCTGTAAATAATTTATGATATAAATCTTCTGATGATTGTAACACTAGACCACGTTTCAAGTTCTATAGTGATAAGGCATGCCACTAACTCTTATTGCAGTTCGATAGGCTTTATTGTCACATACCTTAAATTAAAATTCTGGCACTCCCGCAATCCGTATCCTCACCATCACCATCTGCGTGCGTGCAACATACGGACATTTATACTTTTTACCATAAAATTTTTTTAAATGCCCATTTCCACTACACTTTTGATACTTAATGGGAGACAGGCGTGACAGGTATGTACATATTTAGCTATTTATAATTTTTATAACGATACTGCTTAGTGGTGTAAATTTTCATTCTGCATACCAGACAACGACATACATGGTATCGGCTCGTAGGTAACTGGCGTGCACCGGCAGCGTTGCCTCGTCGTGCCGATCTATCGGGCCATGACGTATGATAAATTGGCCCCGCTTTGATCATAATTAATGATTCTCTATTCATTATTTAATTTGCGCTATTTCCATCACCCTTCAGTCCTCAATGTGGATTGAACAATTTCTCACTTTCAGACCCTGGGTCTAGTACAAGGACTAAACGATCGGTAAGATTCATTTCCAGGGCTCCACTAATGTTACAAAAATTAATGAGACCTCTTAGTTGCGCCGCACTTTCCTCCAAACTTTGTCAATGGAACTTCCTGTTGCTGCGTAGATAAACATATGCCTGCATATGCGCACCTTAAGCTTAAAGTGGCTATCGACTAACATCATCAACACCAAATACGTTTTAGTAACTATCTCCAAAAGGTATGCGAGGTTACACAATAGGTAGTAGGATTCGTTGCCGAATGATTCATATTGTTGCGCATTTTTTATAATTTTTTATTTTATTTATTGTAGAAAACTATGTCAGTCGTCGTTTAATAATCGACCAATTGTTGATTTTATGGTAAACATTTGTAAGATTGACGAGATAAAACGCCATTTTTGAACACGTGGTAAGACGCTCCGTCGGTTGTCGCTAGCGATGTACGATATACATCGATGTATTTTAAACACTCGATGTATAGAATATTATGCTAAAGTATTAACAATACATCGTATTGTTAATACTTTAGCATCGAATATATATCGATGTTTTTCATACGATCCATCGAATACGCGAGTAATGAAAAAAAAGTAAAATTATTCCCTTAGTTCGCTGCATGCTCTTTAAAATAAATTCAGCTGTTATAAAAGATCCTATAGCAAAAGAAGTGCAGAAACTTGTTATTAATGAAATAAATAAAAGAATAGGTCCAATAGAATATGTAACTGCTTTTGCTATCGCAAGTATTTTAGATCTACGGTTTAAAAAGATGCACTTCAATGATGCAATAGTTTGATTTTCGATACTGCATTCCATATCGTACCCTAAATTAAAGATTTAATGAAAACTAATTTGAAAAGCAATGAAGAACCTGAATCTGATTGTGACAAGTCCTATAAAAATGAAGAGAGCTTTTCATTATGGAGTGATCACCATAAATTAGTGCATCGTAACTGGAAAAGTAACAAATCTGAAGATGTTTTGTTTGACGAACTTTTAGTTTATCTCAAAACTCTTATTGGAAGTTTGTACGACAATCCGTTAGAAATTTGGAGGAATTATAAAATACAATTTCCGAAGTTGTATAAAATAGCTTTTAGGTATTTAACAATGTTTGACACGTGCCCTTTCAGAAAGACTTTTTCATAGTCAGGGCTAGTTCAAATTGAGCAACGAAACCAACTGAAGGAAAAAAGATTTTTTACATAGCATTGAAAAAAAAAATTAATATGTAATGTAAATAAAGCTGTGTTGGCTGTGTGATTGTGAATTTTATTACATATTTTTCCTTGTACTTACCCAGTTCTCTTTAAGGCCTAAACATGTCATTGCGAAAACAATCGATGTTTTAGAAACATCGATGTACTCAATACATCGTATTAACATCGATCCAATCAATCGAACCATTACATCGGAAAAACCATCGATAAATATTTTAAATGTCCATCCCTATGCACCGTCGTCGTATTGTCTTTGGTGCGGGTACATTTGTAAGCAGCAACTAAACTGAGTGGAAACTATTATTATTATTGGATGCACAGCGCAGATAAGAAGGAACAAACTAAATAAAGTAATTCATAGTTTATCTCTTATCCTCTTTTTGTTTGTCTCTTAATTATATTAGCGTAAGCAGAAAGGAGGGAATTATACGATTTACTGTTTTTTTTTAATTTTGTCATTCCTTCTCTGTGTTCCTTCTATGTTATTCCTTGTTCTTAGGTAAAGGCATGAAGAGAGCCACAGATATTTTAGATCAACTTTAGACACAAAAAGATCGATTCTGAGACGCCACTTTCGAAACGTATGCCATAATCTAATATTTTAATTTGATAGTTTCGCGAAATTACTCTTCTCTTGACTATAAACCGTATGTATTAATAATTTGGGCTTAAATCTATCAGAAACTTAGTTGATATTTGTCATTAGAATAAAGATTTGCTATGATACCGAATTGAAATTTTAATTTCATAGATAGTTTAGAAAATGGCATCTCAGAGTCGACCCCACAGTCTCTATAATCTGTGAATTAGTGCTAACTTTAGGGCATGGTCGTTTGTTTTGTAAAGTGAGGTTATGGCCATTTAATATTTTTGGCGTTGAAAAAGTTAATATTATTTAATTGTTAAGCAAAATGACTGACTTTGTTTTAAATGACAGTGAAACAGAAGGAGATTCTGATGAAGAGGTACGTTTTCTGCTTTTCTGCTATTTATAATCATATTTGATAAAAATATTATGTTTAAATGTTAATTTTGCTACAGTTACAAGAAGCATTCGCAAAAGGATTACTCAAGCCTGGACTTAACGAAGAAATAGAAAAAGTAGAGAAAAAATACGTTAATAATGTAGCTGACTTAAAAGCAAAATTGAAAGAGTTTAAATTGAAATTGCCCTGGATTGAAACGTTGGATCTCGTAACTGCTGTCGCACCTATGGCTCCAGATGTTGCCTTACAAATACAGGAAACTGCACAAAGAAGAAAGTAAGTAAATAGTGCATATAGATATTTGTAACCTGCAAAGCCATAATCCTATATTAGGATTACCAGACTATTATTAAATATTGTTGGGCTGACTTGTTACTGCACAAATAGCACAATTGGTATAGATTAAATAACTGACTTTATATTTTATTAAATTTTATATAATATCCATGAAAATCTTACAAGAACTTGGTACCTACTCATTGAATCTTTAATAGAAAAAAACAACAGTAGTCTGTTTCAACAGAACTGAATAAAAAGACGACCAAGTTCTGCTAAAATTATCACTGAAACACAATGTCAATAAAATTTGTAACAGATTTAGTTATTTAATTAATAGATTTTTTTATTACTAAGGGTTTTCAGTAGACTATCTTATTGTTGGATTGTTGGAGTTATTTGTTTGTTTACATTTACATTAAGTTTTACTGAAATCAGCTATAATTAATGAATTTCCCAAAATTATTTTCTAAATAGAGTTTGTTTAAAATTAATATAATTATTTTATATATGTATATCAATATTGAATATAAACTTTTTTTCAGGAATATAAAAGAGAATAGTAAAGGTAGTAAAGAGTATGACCCCACACAGGATCCGGTATTAAATGAGTTCAAACGGGAGAACCTTATCCACAGGCAAGCGCAGTCTGCTGTTGTGGAGGGCATAAAAAAGCTTAAGGAACTTGGTGTGCCTACTAGAAGGTATAATTTTGTTTCCTTTTTATTTATTTAATATTTTATTGAACCAATATTATATGAATTGTCGAAGGATTTTCAATGAGAAGATAGTTTTATTGTAGAGCAACCTCTTCTAGATAACTTTTGGGTAGAAGGAATTAAAGAATGAATGAGTAGATGGTACATTAAAAAAATATAATGCTAAACATGTAGAAAAGTACAATTACATCTATACATAAATATATATGTATAATGGTTATAAGAATAGATAGTGGGATTTAATTAATTTAAAAAAAAATGGAATTAGGGATCCATATGGAGGTAAGAAGTGAATTCCATTAAAACTGTGTTTTTATTGGTAAGTTTCCTAAGTACACATTATATTTTAATATAATTGCTTGCACAGAAAAGGATTTGGTGTAGGAAGAGGAATAACGATTAAGTTTAAGATGAAGGTTGTCAGTACTACTCAAAGAATAATTAAATAGTTTTTAATACAGCATTGATAATTTGTCCTCCTAAATAATCTAACATGCTGTCTAGATATCTGATACATATTTTCTAATTAAGGAAGGCCAAGGCCTATTAATGAATCAGCTTAATAAGACAGACTGAGGTCTTATCTTTGAATTTTCCTACTAGTCCCTTGATACTGAGTCGTTTTAGCTTTGATATTTATATAAATACATTTTGTAAAGATGTTTAAAATGTGTTTAAATAGCTGAACAAATTTTGAAACCATGTCTTTTAAAACTATGTATTTCACACTAGTCTTTATCATTGTTTTCATCTGCATAACTAAGATTTGTTAATTGAATAAAATAAAAAAGTAGTCTACATCCTTTATTCTAAATAATTTGTATGTAAAAATTTGTGGTGATTACCATAAAAGCACTAAGAGATAACAAACTCACTGTCACATTAAAATTACTAAGAACAACACTGTTAATTGTTCTGAATATTTATAGACCTGATGACTATTTTGCGGAAATGGCCAAGACAGACGAGCACATGCAGAAGGTTCGTAAGAACCTCATGGCGAAGCAGGCAGCGCAAGCACGTATAGAGAAAGTACGGCAGCTGCGAGAACAGAAGAAGATTGCCAAGCGTGTGCAGGTAATTTGTAATAGGATTTTATTAAAATAAAAAAAGAAACTTGATTATTACTGTCATTGCTCTGGAGAAGGATGGATTTGGCTGGCAGTCAGTTGTTGCATTATGTTTACATCAGCTTAAACGTCAGGCTAAGTGTGGGAAAGGTAGTCCAATTTTGGATACTGTGTGGAGAAGTATGTTATTTCTGTTATTTTTGTCTTCAAAATGATATAATATTAAAAATTTAAAATAACAAGTATTCTGATCAAATGTGAAGTTTTAATATGAAATTGGACCTGGGATTAGTTTAAATTTAATTTCAGAAGTGATAAATGCAAAAAAAAATGACAATTGCTATCACATAATTTTTTGCTTTATAGTATTTTGTTGAGTATTTTGTAAATCAGAGATATGGAGTGTTCATATATGCTGTTGGAAGCAAACATGATTGTCTGTCCGTCATTACACAATCTGTGAGAGAATAATTGCCCATTTACTGATCATTGTAATATTCTAAAATACTATGTATATGTTTACTGTTACAGATCGATGCCAAGCTAAAACAAGCCGCTGAAAAGAAACATATGTTGGAACAATTAAAACGAGTTAGAAAAGGCAAGTCAGCCGATTTAGACTTTTTAGAGGATGACAAAGGGAAAAATGTTAAGGGCAAAAGTAAAGATAAAGGTCCTCAAAATAAATCGGCTAAGAAACGTGCAATGAAAGACAAGAAATTTGGTTTTGGTGGCAAAAAGAAAGGTTCTAAACTTAACACAAGGGAATCCTCTAATCAAATGGATGGATTTAATAGCTCGGCTAAAAAGAGGCCATTTAGTTTCAAAAACAAGTCTTTCAAACCTAACAGTAAGAAAAAGAATCAAAGACCTGGTAAATCTAAGAGGAGAAATGCAAAGCGATAATTTTGTTATATTTAGGTCTCTATTTTATAATAAACTTTTTGACCTTAAACAAATTGTATTATTTTATCTCAATACATTTTTATTTTTATAGATATATATCATATATATTATATGTAAACGAGTGATGGGCCTACAAACTAATTTTCCCCCTTGTCCGAAGGTTCAGTCGTACATGAAAAATGAGAGACAAATCCGTTCTGAATTTCTAAAATACTGTTTTTTTTATTTAGTTTAAGAGTCCAGTGTCATAAGTTTTAGTGCTATACAGGTGAAAATGAAATTGTTATTGTTAGCGGTATGTAAAACTACAGTATAAGTAATACTTTTAAAGTATAGTATGGACACTTCCTGTCGTCTGCTACGATCTGACCTCGGTCCCTTCTAAATACATGTCCGCACCCAACAATTTTCCAGCGGTAATCGTAACACACGCACACATTGTACAGACGTTACTTGATTTTGTACTCGTAACTGGCACGGATCGTGGCGTTTTTATATGAAATGTTTTTTTTTATACAACTTAGAATGGCAAACAAGCTGACAGTCCACCTGATGGAAAGTGGTAACCGTCGCCTATAGACATGAGCAGTACCATGGACATAACAGAGTATATTGTTTCGCCTATAATATCCCCATGAATTACCATTACTGAGGACTCAGGTGTTATTCCTCTGTACCCAGTAAATTCACGCCATATTCAAACCGAAACACAGCCATCACTTGTAAAATTAAGAGTTCGAGTTAAAAAAATAGAATTACAGAGTTGAAATCATAGATTATTTATTATTATATACTGTGTAGACGATAAGTTCATGCAGTAACGCCGTTACTGTATCAACATGCTCGAGCTATAAAGCGTGGAATAGATCATAGGATAATGATTTCATGAATTAAAAATGACAAAAGAGCCTTCTTTATTAAATGAACAGTTAAACGTATAGTCTTAGTATGAGAGGCTCAAAATATACTATGTAACTAAGGTGGTAAACAAGCATACGGCCTGTCTCACAGTAAATAGGATTACCGTAGTCTATGGACTTCTGTAACACTAGAGATATCACGCGCGCGTTGCCGACTTTTAAAAAACTTTATTACACCCTTTACTTTCTGTAAAATGTAATTATATCTATATTTACGTATTAGTATATTTTAAGAGTTTGAAAGGTTCATAATAAAACAAAGTAATATAGGTATAAAAATTATATTTGACTATAAAGTCCTCGACTACCATTTGCGACCTTTGCCCTTTTTCTTTTGTTGTTGTTTGCGTTGCCACGCGCTGTCGCTCTGTTTGGACTCCACGCGTGGACTCTTGGCCGACGTGGCCGCCGTCGCTGCAGCCGCCTGCTGCTTGCTCATGTCGCTGTAATTTGGTATAATTATCATGTACTTCGTTGATTGTTAAGGCTTTGCAATTTATCATTTGATGTTTATTTTTTTTAAACTAATAGAATTTGCTCTTATGTTATTCCCATATTAATAGTTTAAATAGACTTCCAGTGGGGGGAAAGGGATTGTTAGTGATGGAGACTGAGAATCCCATTGCTAGCAATATACCCAACCAGGTCGATCTCCTCGCGGTTCCCCCTGGAAACTATCATGGTTGATCCCTGATGAATTCATGATGGGCTAACTGGCCTGTTTTCATTCTCATCTATCACGCTTCACTGGTACTCCGCCAGCGTATCCCGTTAGCGCAGACGGGATTACCATACCATTTTCACCCATCAAAAAGTTAATAATTATCCACTATCATAATATTTTCTTACTATTGATCAGTCGCAGTGGTGCTCATTCCCTGACTGCCCTTGATGACGTCACGCCTCACGCCGCGCCGTTTTCTGTATGCGGTGCGTTCGTATTTCGGCAACCATCTGACAAATAAAAGATTTTTAATATATGGACCTAGTCCTAGTAAAATAATTCAGAAAATGAAGAAAAGTTAGAGAAAGGATTATCGGAAAAATAGAATAAAATAAATCTTATACAATTTTTTAAATAATAATACTAACAATAAATTATAAATAGTCTCCCAGATCGCAGCGCGCCTTATCGAGGTAACTATTGACCCAAGAGCTGGTAGCTACTTTGCACAAAAGATAAGTTTAGCAATCGAAAAAGGTAATGTTGCCAGTATCTTGGATATGCTGCTTCGGTGTGTTGTATTGGGAGACTATTTATAATTAATAATTAGTGTTGTTATTTAAAAAAATTGTATAAGAATAAAATTCATTTACTAAGCAATTCATTGACACAAATTTTTATATGCTTGTTAAATGAGAATTAAAAGGCGGTGTAAAAAAAAATATTAAAATAAATAAAATACGAATATGACTTTTTTAAATGAAAACAAAATAATAATCAATAAAACAATAAAAATAATATTTACATGTCATTTCTATAAAATATTTGTTAAAAATAGGCACTTTTGATTTAGTAAACTTTTAACTCCAGAAAAATATTACTAATTAATTATACTGGTTTAAATTTCTATTTTTTTTTTGTTTAAGGGCCTCTCGTTCTTTAATCTTTAATTTTTTTTTATGATGAAAACGTTCTGGTATCTATGTATTAGATCCTGTGGTTTTATCTCAAGTTGTTTTTCTATCTCTGACTTTGAATGTTTGCTGCTTTTCATTAGGTGAACTAATATGCAATAAATTAACAATAAACTAAAAAGTGGCAATTTAAAAAATAAAAAAAAAAAATAAAAATTCTATACCTTTCTGGATCCGGAGGTTTGGACAGGTCCGCGTTGGGTGGAAGTTTCGTCTTGCGCTTTCGTTTGGGCTTTGTTTTTTGGCTCAGTTCCGATCCAGGGGTACTGAAAAGTGATATTAATGTATTCATGATTCTATATCCTTCACTGTAAGTTACAGGTTTTTTTTTTATGCAACTTAAAATGGCAAACAAGTTGACGGTCCACCTGATGGAAAGTGGTAACCGTCGCCTATAGACATGAGAAGTACCATGGACATAACAGAGTATACTGTTTCGCCCATGATACTCCCCAGGTGGACCTTTTTTATGGATGAAGATGGAATGGTTCACCTGCCTATGAGGGTAACAGAAGATACAGGTAACATGCACCAGTGGAGGATGAGATCAGGTCAGTTAGCCTATTGTGGCCAATTTACCAGGAATTAATCACATAGCATCACATAATCACATACCAATTTACCAGGAATTAATCACATATAAATAACCCCCCACCCCTCTCTGTTACAGGGGGGGGGGGGGTGGCTGACAAATGCAATGAAAACCTTAGAGAAGAATATTAGCCTATTTTTACTACTTCACTAAGCAGTTTGGTATAATGTCATTTTAAGTTTCCTTTATCATAGATGCGTTTTTTCTCTTCGTTGTCTCTTATAATATTCTGGGATTACTTTCGATAATGTGGTGAAATTAGAAATAAGGAATTATTGAGAATCATTTGCATGGACTGCTGCAAGAGAAGTTAGACTGGCAAAAGTAGACTGTTCTAAAATGACAGTAGATAGCTTGGAATGCTCCAGGTTTATTGAAAGGATCCCAGAGATCCTTGGACTCGTGTCAACCACGCTCCGGTACTTCGTTAATATAAGATTAGGGGCAATAATGTGTAAGTGGTTATTCCAAGCTTTCCATAACTCGGAGATATTCGACTTTATGTGAAGCCATGAGCATTTGGTGTGAAGGATTCACTACTACTAAAAGAGATTCTACACATGTTATTTCCACACATATTAATTAATAGTAAAATTAAATAGTACAAAAAAGTAATGTAATAGTCTACCAGTGACAAAAATAAAATAAACTCACCCAGGCGATTGTTCCTGCTTGCTTTGCACAGTTTTCTTAACAACTTTAGCACCCATCATCCATTTAGAAGATTCGAGAGCGTCGATATCAATTTTAGTCTGTAAATTGATGAATTATTTATGGGGTTTTTAAATTAATTCAACACTAGCAGGAGAATATATTTAATATCTTTAAAAATGCTTCACTAATTAATTGGGAGCAGCTAGTAGGTATGTGAAGAGTTGACCTGATCCAGGTTAAGGGGCTCTTGTTCTTAGCCATCCTCAGTTGTTTTACAATAAATACATATATTTATATAGCAAGAGAATTTCTAGAGACATTTTTATTTTATAACGAATAAAATACATTAATTGACGATGAGGTGTTTCACACATTGTCACATTTTTAAATTTAAAATATTTAAATTTAGAATATGGAATCATGTGTCAAATATAGAAGGGATATCTTCCAAATTATATATGTATGTTACTACGTACGTGCGTACGCATTACGTAATGACAGATCGACAATACAATCATAAAAAGGAGGCTAGAAAATAGTTACACGTTTTAAATTTATATATAATTGAAGTTGCAGAAATAGCAAAACTTCACGTATTTGTTATAATTCGTGAACGTTCACGAACATTATTTGAATAATTAGATATGTTTTTTTAATAATTTTTACACAAAATATTTTTCATTGTTCTATAATATTGCATTTAAAGGGACGGTTTAAAGCGTAATTATGTGAATGTAAATTTTTTTCTAATTTACATTATAAGTACGTGTAATATAATTCTAACTACGTTAATTTGAATCTAATTCCACTTTAAAACATAAAAATAAATAGAGCTTGTTTCGTTCATACTCCCTGTCAAATCAGCATCGAGCTTATTCTGTAAATGAATGAATGAACTCGTCTGTATTATTTCAACATATATGATATTATGTTTCCTCTGTTTTACATTGACAATCTGTAAATTATAAATCCAAGTTCCAGGTAATGTGATGTTAATGATGGGCTGGTGAACACGAATGGAGTTTTTTCTAATGGGTGATAATGGAATGGTAACCCCACCCGCCTTATTGGTATACATTGGCAGGGCATCAGTCAGAGATGATAGGTGAGGATGAAGCAGGTTAGTTAGGTCATTGTGATAAATTGTTCACGATGGTTTTCAGGGGGAACCACGTGGAGGTCGACCTAATAGGGTATTGCTGGGGGGAAGGGATTGTTAGTAATGCGGATTATCAGTCTCATTGGTAACAATATACCTAAACGACTTCCCTGTGGTCTCCTCTGGAAACCATCGTGCTGAATTCCAAGTGTATTTATCACGACGAGCTAATTGACCTGCCTCTTCATCCTCACCTATCACTGCTCACTGGTGCCGCGCCTAGCGCAGGCGGGGTTACAATTCCATTATCATTCATTAAAAAAATAGGGTATTATTGCTAGCAATGGAGATGTCGAACTCCATTGCAAACAATTATATTCCCCCGTTACGAATGGAGTACTCGGTAGGTGGTGACCTCGAGGCGGTCGAGGCGCGGCAAGTCCTTGGCGAGGAGGCGCGCGCGCTCGGGCTCGTGCGCGGCCAGCAGCTTCACCAGGCGCGCCAGGCTGCGCGCGTCCGCCGGCTCGGCCGCGCGCAGCGCCGCCAGCGCCGCCGCGCCTGCACGCGCCGCGCCCGCCCGCGCGTGCGCCGCCGCCGCGCCGCGCCACACCGCGCGCAGCGACGCGAACCGCTGCACACACAACCACACGCATGCTTCACACTCAACGCTCGCTACACATCGGTTATAAGGAGGCGAACTGCTGCACGCGCACGCACACGTACACAACGCATACGCACACACACACACACACACAGTCACGCGCGCGCTCCACGATCGTAACACACCGCACACCGCGCGCAGCGACGCGACGCACACATACAATTACACGTGCGCTCCACGCTCAACGCTCACTACATATCGCGTGCGACGACGTGAACCGGCGCACACACAGTCACACTCGTGCTTGACACTCAACGATCACTGTACATCGCGTGTGACGATATGAACCGCCGCACACACAGTTATACTGTTATATCACATCACACACATCGCGTGCGACGAAACGAACAAAAGTTTGCACCGTCACCAGTCATCAACTGTCCACTGCTAAATATTAGCCTTCCCCATAAGGGGAGTTTTGCCAGTAGCTACCACACTTAGCAGGCGGGTTGACAACCGCAGTTAAGCTTTTAGGAATGTTTTAAAGGAACGCTGCTGTCCATCTGTCAACCATTAAGTTCCTTTAGTCGCCTCTTACGACACACATAAGAAAAGAAGAAATAGCCTGGTTTACACCGAGGTCACACGGCTATCTGTGAACAGTTATATCATACACACATACACTCCTCACCATCTCTAATCGAACATATGCGTTCACATTTGCCTCTCCACACCCTTAATCATACTCTATTTCCGTACTAACAATTTTAATAACTATAAGTAATAGTTATAATCAACAAATTATAAATTTAATTCTAAACATTTTTTTTCTAAGTGCAACTTAATTATTATTATACATCTCACAAAATTAATTTCAAATAAGTATATTATATTATTTTTTATAAGTAATTAATTTTTTTATTATATTCTAATAAGTAAACGATGCACTCAAATTCTGATAATTTTTACACAAATTGTATGTATAAAAACAATTATTTTAAACAAACCTCATCATTCTTGTAATGTTCATAGACATCCGTAAACATCTGTGACACTTTCTGGTACTCGCCGTCGGCACTGAGTAGGGTACACAACACACCGATGACGCCCGGCCGGTATTTGAATTCACTTTCTTCTAACAGTTTCACGGCAGCTTTCCGGTCACCCTGATATTGTTGAATACGTTTAATACCGGTCGTTATGAAATTCAAAATACAAATACAATAGAATAATGTAGGGGGGAAGGAGTAATGCGGACTACTAGTTCCATTGCTAGCAATATATCCTGTCAGTTCGACTTCTACTTGGTACCCTCTGAAAACTATTGTGTTGAATTCTAGGTAAAAGGTAGGAAAAAAAAAACATACACATAATACACAGCAAGAGACAAAAGAATAAAAATAAAAAAAAGCACAATAAAAAAAATACAAAAACAAAATATATAATCTAACAATCTCCTTTCTTACCATTCCTTCATGCGTGTGCCATAGTAACACAAAATGGTCACAGCTCAGTTTATTGCTTTGCCCTCAAAAGAGCAAAACACTGATATATAACATAAACAAATATACAGTTAAATAAAATATTAAAATATATAATAAAATATAACATAAATACATACACTATAAATACATATAATACATATAATACCTACTTACTTATATAATAAATGAATATAGTACTAATTACTAATATATATATAAACAAGGCGTACGTGCGTGAGCGCGAGGTGTGCGGCGGCGAGGGCGGCGGCGCCCCCGCAGCGCAGCAGGCGCTGCACGGCGGGCTCGGCGCGGCCGTCGCGCGCCAGGCTCGCCGCCTCCACCAGCGCCGCACGTTCCTCCTGACCGAACGCCCGCGACAGCTTCACGCAGCACTGCTTGCAGAACTCCGGCTGCACGAGCCGCCACAGCACATAAACGACAAAGTAGTACGAATAAAAAAATTATTAACTTATTATTATTATTGCCAAGTAAAAATTAGAACAAAAAAAAAATGCTTAATGAATCTAAGTTAGAGTGAAATTTATTTATTTATTTATAAACCAGCGGCCCGTCCCGGCTTCGCACGGGTGGACGTTTTTACATTTTAAAAAGTGGTTAGTTGGACATATAGTATCACGAAGTTTTTTGTAATTATTGACCATTAAGGCTGCACACGCGACGGAAGCTTAAAAATGGAGTAATTTCTCTCATTTCCCTTCCCTGCTCTGCCCCTATTGATCATAGCGTGATGAAAAGTACACTATAACCCGCCCAGGAGTATAAAGAATAATTGTACCAAGTTTCGTTAAAATCCGTTGAGTACTTTTTGTTTCTACAATGAACATACAGACAGAAAAAAATTTTACTAATTGCATTTTTGGCATCAGTATCGATCACTAATCACCCCCTGATAATTATTTTGGAAATATATTTCATGTACAGAATTGAACTCTCTACAGATTTATTATAAGTATAGATTACTCACCACACTTACAGTATACTAAAACGTGTAGTGTAGTAGCCATAGGTTTATTTTACAAACTTAAAAAATTTAAACAACATTAAAAAAATATAATTAAATATATCAATATTTGGCTGCTGAGCAATCAGAGAATTGAGCAGAGAAATAGCCTGATAAGCAAATTGAGCAGTACAGCAATAGAACAATTATTTGTTTCCTATGGTTGATGTGCCGTTATAAATGCACACGTTATCCACACGCACGCATGCACGCAACGCACGTTCACATGCATACGCACACGAACGCACTTCTCTACATATGTATGTTGTAGTATTATTATAATGTTGTGTTGTATGTATGTATGTATAATGTTGTATGTTAACACACTCGGTTTATAACATTGAATTGGCTTTTGCTGTCATAATGTTGTAATTATTTTTAATCAATAAATAAATAAATAATATGAGGAATAAGTATCTTATAGAATCACAACTATTTTACATTGTTTTCCTATATTTCCATTTTTTATTTAATTTTAAAAGACTACATTTTTGTATGAATAAAGTTTATTATTACTGAGAGTAGGGCCTCTCAGTAATAATAAACTTTATTCATGAAAAAAGAAAAATAATAATAAATAAAAAAAAAAAAACATGTGAAAGTTGTTGAATTTAGAATTAACCATTTAAAATACCTGATTAGAGTAGATAGCAAGTATCGCCTGGTTGTACGTGATAGAGGCGCGCTGCCGTGAGTTAAGTTTGTGTTCAAGTCCATCTTGTGTGGCCGCCTTCATACGCTTACGAGAATCGAATACATTGGTGTCTCTGTATACAAACATAATAATATGAAACAAAATTATACCAATAAAAGAGATTTTGCTTCACTCTGCCTGTATAATGCACTGTGCTCAGAGGAATTGTTTAATATGATGCCCACTGCCACTTTCTACCATCGTACAACTCGCCATCAATAGGGAGTCCACCCCTATACTGCAGAGCCTGGATGTTTTCTCCCACAAACCCTCAGGTTATGAAATGTGCTCCTTAACTTTCCATGAGACTATAGCATGAGGTTCTATAAAAAAGGGATACAGGTTTCTTCAGAGCGGTTTCAGCAACCCGCGCGTAAGTCCATGGTGTTACAGGCGTTCACAGGCTATGGTAACCGCTTACCATCAGATAGACCATATGTTTGTTAGTATCTCAGTGGTATAAAAAAAAACTTTAACCTCACCTGTTGATGACTACAAGGTTGTTACTAGCTATAGCAATCAGTGCTTGGTCAGACGGTTTGTCTTTCAGAACATTCTGGTAGATGGATGCAGCTTCCTTTTCCTTACCCATCTGCTGGAGACAATAGGCTTGTTGTACTCTGAAAACATAAATTAGTAAAAACTCAAGTAGGAATATTAATAGAAAATAATTTTTTTATTATTAAAATTTGAGTTAAATACTTTAATTATATATATTATTTTTTACCATGTATTTCTTTTTTATTTATCATTATTTTTTTCCAATTTTATAACAATCACTTTCTTTTCCAATAATAAATATAAAAAAAATTAATTGAATTTATTTTTTTATAGTTTTAATTTTTTAATGTAAAAAAAACAAATTCTACAGTAGAATATATATTTTTAAAGAAATCATGTCTAATAAAAATAGAAAGGTAGATAGATAATATTTTAATACATGCTACCAGTTGTATACCGTGGTTTCACTAGTGGTCATGATGTTGGATAGTCCATAACCTTTTCAAGAAATGAGTTAGTAGATGCAACAAGATTTTTTTAAATCCACCTGGTATTTTCACAGATCAGCAAATTCAATCACAAAAACTCTTCTGCTCTATTATATTAGTAAACTAGCAACATTAAACTAACCTAATTATTGCAGCTTCCTCTTTAGCCTCTTCTTCAGTGCCACCATCATCGATAACACTCTCCGAGCAAGCCTGCTCAGCTTTCTTGAGCACTGGCAATGCTTCATTGTATTTCCCCCTCATGGCTAATGTACTGCCCATGTTGTATGTTTGTTCATATGTGTTTCCAGTGAATTGAGGGAGGTCTGCAGACTGAAATATAGAATATAAGTGTTTTTTTTTTATACAACTTAGAATGGCAAACAAGCTGATTTCAGGTTCCATATTCTCTAGTTATATCATAACTTAGCTCATAGGATATTTTATGTATTGATTCACACCAGTGAAACTACATGATAGATATATTATATAAAAGTATACTTACTGGATTAAGTGCTGCCAGATTGGCAACAACTGCAGCCATATTGGCTTTCCTTTCATCTTCATAATCATCAGTGGTGTTTTTAACCACTTCCCGATACAAATTGTAGCATTCTTGGTACTGCTCCAAGCGGTATAAAATTTGAGCCCTGGAAATGTTAATAAATAGTTTATTTCAGTGAGAAAATCAAATAAAAAAGTAAAAACTTTTTAAAATAAAAGTTTTATATAATTTTTTTTAGATTAAGTTCCTTACTGTTACTACTAATTTAGTAACAATTTTAAGAAATAATATATTACAGATATGGATACAAGTAATGTTTATGTCATAGCAAAAAAAAAGCAAGTTTATGCTTAGTATTAAAATAATATTAATACATATTTATTTTTAAATAACATAAAATTGATAATTTCAAGAGTAAATAAATTTATTAATTTAGTTCAGAGAAGAAAATTATTAATTAATTAAAGAATTATATGTAGAGACAAATAACATTTTTTTAATAATATTTAAATTAATATCTTATTGCCACTTTATCATGCTTTTATGTAATTAAGTATTTATTTTGTTTGTGAACATATTGTTAATCTTTATAATCTGTATCATTCTTTGAAGGGAACAATAAAGAGCTTTCATTCATTCATTCATCTTTTAATAAAGTAGTGTGGTATTAGAAATTAAGAAAGAACCCATTATGCATGTATAAACTATACTTTTTTAATAGATATGAATTAAAATTCCAACCAGATTTCAGACTAGATATCACACATGCAAAGGCATTTCACATTGATTATATAGATGGCTTATATTATTACCTTAATTCTTTCAAAGCTGGTGTCAATTCTGGTGCACTATCCACAGTCTGAAGTGCTTCTTTTGGAGTATTAAGACGGTATTGAGCATAAGCTTTTTCGAAATGCAAATCAGCAGCAAGTGCAGCATTTTTAGGGTTGCTCAGGATAGCTAAAGCTTCCTTGAAGTTGTGGAGTTGGATGAAGCATATCACTTTGCAATGAAACGCTTTCTGCTCCTGTGGAGCTATTTGTAAGACTGAAAAAAAAAATATTTACAAACTGTATTATTTAAGGACATTTTTAAAATTTTATAGAACATATTGGTTAGTAACTATTATTATATATAAACACATGAGAAAACACTTTAGATTATTGATTAAAGTATAGAATATTAATTAAAATTCGAAAGTTTGAAGGTTATCTTTCGAAATAATTCTCGACATTCCTGAAGAAGGGCATAAGATTTTTATTTATATTGTTGACTTACTCTTCCCAGTTGCTTTTAAAGCTCTTTCATAATCACCACTTTGACAAAATTTATTTAATTCAATATAAGCTTGAACAAGGTTACTTTCCTTGTTGGCTGACATTTTTTGACAACTTGGCACCAAACTTGCCAACTGTCACATCATTAACTGTTGCGTTTTGTTTCATCTAACGTAGATATGCGATGCAATTTGTAATTCATTTGAATAGGAAATATTAGAATTTAACTAGATAGAAAATTTATTTATACATAGTAATTTGTAGTCACTCATGGAGGTATATCATTTATTTTTTAAATATAAAAAAAATCATTGCCAATATACCCTGTTTTTTATAATATATATGGGACTACGTGGAAATTGATCTGTCAAGGAGTATTGCTAGCAATAGGATTAGTACTTCTTCTTACTAACAATCTCTACCGTCCCCGTCCCCAGCCGAGTATATTACAATACAAGTTAGTAAGTTTATCGTCATCATACGGATTAATTTGGTTTATTATCCATACTTTCCAATTTTAGTTAATATCTTACCAGATTTGGAATTTTGGTAACAGCGGCGGCCTTAGGGGGTGGCGAACAATCCCAGGGCCTCATGTAACAACTCAAGCAAATTTTAAACATCCAGTGAGTGGCATTTTGTCTAGTGGCAAGTTGTAAAAACTTCCCGATTTAGACATTTTAATCACGAATGAATAAAATTACTAACACTAAAATATACAAATAAAAAAAAAAAAAAATAAAAAAACAATTGTAAAAAGAAATATAAAATAAATATAGTTTTCTTGAGTCAGCGGAAACTTTCCAATAATTTATGACAATTACAAATACCTAAATCAAAACAACCAGACCTAGTTGCATCACATACTTTTCACAAAGGACAAAGGGCCTTGCAAAGATCTACCGCCCGGAGCCTCGCAATGGGTAAGGCCGCCGCTGTCTGGTAAAATAGTCGAAATGAAAATTGAAGGTCTTTAGTATCTGTTAAGAGTGTGGACTGTATTTGTAGAGTAAAAACACTGATTATACAAAATATTTGCACATATCTATTAAATAGTTATTAACTACGTACACAGAGCGAGCGACTGATTTAATAGGGACAAGACACAATGACATTCTATATAACGATGTTAGTTGGCTCCACTAATATAAAATAAATATAATTATATTTATAAGAGTACATTTTGTTGCTAGCAACAGTGTCTATCTCATTCGAACATACGACTCATACAGATTATAAATTAGGGTAGCACTTTGGGGTAGCATTCCATTGGGTTATGACAATTTGGATTCTGAATCTGTCATGTAGATATGATGTAATCGATTATTATCAATAAATCCAATAAAATTGACAAAGATGAAATAAGTAATTTACTCGTACAATGACAAGAGTATATTGGAACCCTTGTTCTTAGACGGGAACAACATGTATGTAATAGCTAGTAAAGTATTATATTATCTGTGGAAATAGTAAGTATTGTTTTGAACTAGTTATCGATATAATCGATACTATTTCAATCCATAGATTATAATCGATTACTATAGGTTTTTTTAAAGGGTGTTATTTTGATGGGTGAAAGTGGAATGGTAACCTCGCCTGCGCTAACGGAATTCGCTGGCGGAGTACCAGTGAAGGGTGATTGATGAGAATGTAAACAGGCCCGTTAGCCCATCATGATGAATTCCTTAGGAATTAACCATGATAGTTTCCAGGGGGAACTTCGAGGAGGTCGACCTGGTTGGGTATATTGCTAGTAATGGGATTCTCAGTCTCCATTACTAACAATCCCTTTCCCCCCTTTTAAAGGGTGTTAATGTAATGGTAATCCCACCCGCGCTGTCGGTATACACTGGCGGGGCACCAGTGAAGGATGATAGGTAAGAATGAAGCAGGTCAGCCCATCCATCGTGACGAATTCAACAAGAATTGTTCACGATGGTTTCCAGGGGGAACCGCGTGGAGGTCGACCTAATAGTATATATTGCTAGCAATGGGGCTGTCAAACTCAATTGCTAACAATCTCTTTCCCCCCTACTATAGGTATTTATAAGCGATGAAATTGCGTAGTACTTTATATAGATATTTCTACGTCGATACAAAATATTATTTCTGCATGAATTTAAAAGATAAAAACATAGCTACAAAATACAATGTACGAAATATTAAAAAAGTAAAATAAAAAAAAGGTCACTCTTGAGTTGTGTCTCCGCTAACTTCTTTAAAAACCACCAAACGGACGTTGTAACGGATTCGACTGTCATTTAGTTTTTTTTCGGAATATCATTATTATAATATTATTATTTATATCGACGTTCAATTTATACTTTTTTTTTATAAGTAGGTAGATGACTTCAATATTTTGTAATAAATTGCACCCGTTCGGGTTGCTGTGCTAGTAAAAATATATATTAGAAAATATTTATTCATGGCAACTTATAACTTACAAGAACCACAACAAATAAACTTTAGTACCTACACACTACACTCGTATGACAAAACAAGAAAAGGGTCCCGCAAAATAAAACGATGACAAAGTAAATCCGTGTAAAGTTTTGTTCAAAAGAAGAAACTACCATTGTGCAGTTGGTGAGCGCTTTCGCCCGTCGTGTGTCGAACTCATCAAAGTTCGACCGTTCGACGGTTCAAAGTTTCAGAACGTCAGGGATATTGTAAAATTTTGAGCGGGAAACGTGTGGTACGCGAGTTTGATGCATTTCACAAAGCCAAGAATTTTTATACTGAACGTGATAGATTAATAGACTCATATAAAAATTTATTACTTGAAAGAAAATAAGTATTTCGTATTATAAAATATAAATATCTACTTTGCATTATAATAATCTTTTTTATTTCAGACTACAATATGTTCATTTTTTTGCTATAATATGTTAGTGAAAAAAAATTAAACATACTAACTAAAGCAATTCGTTCAGATGTGGCCTAGCTGGCTAGATTAGCATCTAAATGAAATGCCTAATTATAGGCGAAATATATTTTTCGCCTATTACTTTCAGAATGCTGTTGGTGCTTGTCCTAATTCTGTGTAGCAATGATGCAGTTATCATTCTATTTATAGTATAGTAATTATCTACGCGTTTAAAAATCAATTTGAAAAGAGTAACTGTCGAGTTTTTTGTTAGAAGAGAGGAACGTATCAAATATAGAGTTAGGTAGATTTGGAATATTTTTATAAATAAATAAGTAAATTTTTCTACATAATAAAACAAATACCTAATCGTGTGTAACTAATAACAGACAATCTATATGTACATAGATTTTGAATTAAGAAGACAAGAAGTATTTGTATATTGCGTGGTTAAAAAGCGATTTTTAAAGAGTTCACACACACATACAAACTCATACACCCATGTATAAACACAAGCACGCACGCACGCATGCACGCACACATGCACGCACGCACGTAGTGATCGCCAAAAAATCTGTTAAAATGAGAAGAACTTCCTCCTTTTCTAAAATTGCTTACAAAATAAAAATTTAATTGACAAATTTTTTTATTTTTGAAATAAAAATTCATTACTACGTTTGAAAACTTCAGCGACATCATCACGACCGCCGCGTCAGGGACATAGTTCGAACACTAGGCAAACAATGTTAAAGTAACATCTATTGTATGCGGACGCGACTTGGCCAACTCCACTTTTAATAGCATTACAGGTCCCGGAGTTGGCACCGACTTCGGTGAAACTTCCCGCCAACAGTCGGCTTTCCGAAGTGACAAGCTGTAGGTATTTTTTAAAGACGCATCCCCCTTCTGGTGCAACGGGTTTGTCTAACGAAAAAATAATTCATAGAATGATTGATTGAATGAATGAGTATTACCTTATAAAGCATTCTTAATAATATTATAAATATGAAAGTACATTTGTTTCTTTGTTACCTTATAGGACCTTAACTAATTGATAAACTATTAAAGTCAAAAGGGTTAAAAATTTAGGATACTTGATATAACACGATTAACTTATGAACATTATAATAGAAGGCAAGAAAGAAAGAAAGAGGGGTAGGGGGAGACCAAGACATTGTTTTTTTTATGCATGATAATGGACTGGTAACCCAGCTTGTGCTAACGGTATACGTTATATCATTTATGCTTGCGATTGAAGGACTTATATCCATGGTCATGAATGAATTAAAAAAAAAAACGGTATACGCTGATGGAGCACCAGTGAGGAACGACAAGCGAGAATGAATCAATATTATTTTTTAACAATTAGTATTTTTAACGAATTAACGATTTTTATTTATCTTTCATTTATTAACAACTGTATTATTTTTTTAGGTGATTGAGTGGTGTGGTATTTAAAGTATGCATTAAAATATAAATTAATAGGTAGACGTGCATCTGCAATTGGATTTAATATTAAAAAACCTAAAGAAATTACTAATAAAAAAGTCAATTTGTCTATTAAAAAATGTCATAACAAGAAAGATAACTATAATTATTCAGTTTTTACAGTTGAATTATATAAAATCTTTTAAAAACCTTTTGCTTAATGAAAGCTTTTCTGATCTTTTCTGTTTGAAGTACTTGCAAACACATTCGTGATGACTTGAAAAGACGTCACGGACTGAATGTATCCCATTCTGAAAATAGCGCTAAATCTCCAAAACGTCATTAAATAAATAACTGTAGGCCCCCGCCCCTCGCTCGGATTAAATTGTTGGAGGGGGCACCGTATTTTATCAGGAGCGCCTGATAAATTGCGCGAAATTCAATTTAAAAGGGTAATGTTTGTGTTCCTATTACGACGTCACTCGACGCCCGCCTATAAACTGTGCCGGTCCACTGAACAATTGAAATATCGAGCCTCCACATACTTTGGCCCATAAAAATATTGGCCGGCTCGCTACTAAGCGTTTTCGACAGGGATCGTGCACAGTCGAAATTTAGTTTACAGGTGGGTGTCCATCAGCTTTGATCATGCAGTTATAATATAAATATATTTATAACTAACGTATAAAATTCTTATGTAAGATTTTTAAAATATCCATTGCTTTTTTAAATAAAAAAAATATAATTAAATAAAATCAGCCAACGGGAATAAAATAATATATAGGATAGGTATATACCTACGCACCATGTGGGGATTCTGGGATTTTAATACTATAAGTAGGTAGGAATAGAAATTATTTCATTA